GAGAGCCAATCAAAGGCGTGTCAGATGAAATTCTTGATTTTGCTTTTCTCGATTTTAAACGAGAAAAGCAAAAATGACTGTTCTGAAAAAGTGACAAATTACTCTCAGAAGAAGGGCAGAAACTGAGATTCTTGATGTTCATAAAAGGCAAAAATTATATCGGAATACTGGGACTTAGCGAAACATCAACAACCTTATATAATTGTTTGTGAATCAAGGGATAAAATTATGGGAAACGCGATGAAAATTTCAAGCAAAATTGGCAGCACAGTAAAAGCAGATAAAAGCTTAATAGCAACTGGCTTTTCATCGGAAAGCCTGGAGCGTGTTTTTTTTTGCGTTATTTGCTGAAGTAAGTTTTAGGCTAGATGTGTTTAAAAAAACCAAGAATTTGAATTACATCGCAGTTTTAAGAAAGTCCATGTGTTTGGTTTATTAAAATTGTCAATAGTGAAGATGTTTAACACTAAAAGTTTGCCGATCATTATTCTGTGCTTTTGAAATTCAAATATTTTAATAGAACAATTGAAGTGGTTTTAGTGGGAGATTCTTCACTGCTGTGAGCATGCAAAAATGTATAAGATTTTTTTTCTTTCATCACCTAAAATAATTTAGTTTGCTATTAAGGAAAAAAAGATTGCAAATCGAGTTTTATAAGATCTGTGATGTGTATTTTATGGTTTACAATCAGTGTGCTCCAAAAAAAATTTTTTTAATGAAACTCAAAAAACCCCAACGTATAGCGTATAGCTATAACGTTAAAAAAACTTTTTCAATAAAAAAAAATTAGGGACAATTTTTTGTGATAATGATTCAAAATAAACCAATTCACTCAAAAACAAGTGATTTAAAGAGTTAGCGACAATGGCTGAAAACAAATCATATCCATTAAAAACAATACTTTAAAGAGCTAGGAGATAAGTTCAGAAAAAAGCAAGATACTGCTCAAATAGAAAATGATAAGGGAAAAAATATCAGCGTGTACTGATTGATAACCCTAGACAGATCAGATATACGAAACGCCATATGCGAAAACGAGTGAAGACAAGTAGCAGAATACAGAAACATTTTTTAAAAAGGAAGTTGGCAAACTGATCCATACCCGCACCGACAAAAATGGATTAGGAACGTTAAAATGAAAAAAAGTACGTTGATTAAATTTAAATTGATTTTAAAATGAAAATAGAACGTTGAATTAATTTAGATCGATTTTAGTATGAAAAAATTACGAAGATTAAATAAAAAAGATCAAGATTGATTTGGATCTATTTAAAATCGATTTAAATTGATCTTAAATCCCAGCTAAAAAAATTGATCCAAATCGATTTTAAATCAATTTAAATGCATTTTTTCCAGTCTGAGTTTGTTTTTATTTTTAAGGGGATTAAAACGGATTTAAATCGATTTGAATCGATTTTTTTTTCATTCGAGTTTTATCAGTTTCAAATTTTTATTCCATTTATTTCTTGCCTATCATTTTTGGTTTTACATCCATAGCGTATTGTAGCATAAAAAAGACCAACTGAAAAGACCAAAATATGGATAAAATTCTAAGATTTTCTTGCCTATTTTTAGTTCAAAAACTGATCTATATTGACCCTTTTCTTGATTCGTTTCATAAGTTGTTGCTTAAAATCTGATTTATTCTCATGATTTTCTATGATTTTATTGCAAATTATTGAGATCACAATTTAATTTCACCTAACCCTTTTCTGGTTTGTTACAAGATTTTGCCCATAATCTGATTTACAATGGTTTTCTATGATTTTGTTGCAAATTTTTGAATTTAAAACCTGATTTATGTGGATCATTTTATTGAATTCTATAACATCTGGCACGAGTGTTTATGTTTAAGAAATCGAGAATAAAAATTCCAACAATTTTTTTAAAGGGTATGTTTTTTCGCCGTGTTAGCAAAAAAGCCGATTTTACTGTGTCAAAAAATCCATCGAAGTCGATTTAAATCAATTTTTAGAAACTTAAATTGATTTCAAATTTTCAAAAAGATCGATTTAAATCGATTTAAAATCCATTTAACTTCGTAAAAGGTACATGGTTAATCGATTTGGACCTATTTAAAATCGACTTAAAATCAATTTAAATTGACCGGAAACCATTTCTGTCAGTGCGGGTAGACACCGTCACGTGATTTCGACTAACTATTTCTCCTCTTGATTTGCAGATACTTTGCACTAAAGTTTTTCCTCGACCGCCTTCAGAACGAGTTCCACGCACTACAGTTTCACGCGTCCTGATGAATGTGAAACCAGTAATTAAAAGTGACATTGCAGCTATTATATGCTCGATGAAACGAAAGAATTAAAAAGTAAGAGTTCAACTAAGTTCGTCGTTGCTTAGAGCAGCTCAAATGCTTTGAAATTAAAGATTTTGAATTTAGAAAAACAACAAGACTGCTCGTGTATTAGGGCAAAAGCCTGAATGATTCGGCTGCACCTTATTTTATATCGAATAGGTTTCGGGGAAAAATATTAAAAAGCTACAATTTTTGGACAATATCAAAGATCAAGTGTACATCGATCAGCTAGGTGGCGTCCCTTATGCTGGACGGACTGAATGCTTGAAATTTATTTTGGCTTATTTTCAGCCAATCAGAATTGAGTATTCTAAAATCACAGGTAAATCGCAAAAATCTCAATGTAAGCAAACAAAACCAGGCCATTAGTATTAATATTGACCGATTAGATAATGAGCAGATGAATGAAAAACAGGCGGATCGAAAGCGGATTGGAACAAATTTAATATTTCAAGGACACCGATTTACGAAAAATGAAAAAACAAAAATTTAAATTTCTTATACCAGCACCTATTATATCTGCATCTAGTATAATTTTTATATTATCATTTTCTGTTAACATTGACTCCAATTTTGTGAGAAAGGCATTTAGCCAATAGTGACGGTTAGCGATTTTGATTTGGTGAAAATTTTTCCAGCATGAGAACCCTCCCCAATTAGCTAGCCTCAATTCCACTTGGAACGATTTTAGTGTTCGCGATAATTCGCCACGCATAATAAAAATTGCGTTACGTCTGCATTATGAATAAAATCTTCAGAGCGTATAAACTAGTCCATAGCATAACCTTATTGGAAACTTTCAAACTCATATATTTTTGCAAAAAATACCTTTTTACATTTCATTACAAGAAGTTAATATCTTCAATATGGAAAAAAATTTTTGCTAAAAGCTATTTTTTTGATCGGCGAAAAATGATTGAATATGAAAAAAACCACCTCAATCATAAAAATTCCGATCTCTTTGAAAGTCGGAACAATTAGCGTTTATGATTTTTTCACCTAAGTAATGAAAATACGGCTACGTTAAAACAAAACAATGATACCATTTGATTTCTTTGAAGTCAAAACAGCATTTGATAATGTCCGCCATAAAATTTTTTGAAAATTGCCTAATTACGGACTAGTTGGTTAAGTATCCAATGGATTTGATGTTAATTGCAGAAACGTAAACATTGTGTTGGAAGATTTGGATTTGGAAATGTATAGAGTTTTGTTTAGAGCTTTTAGGCCCAATTTTCGTTCTACATATTAAAGTATCACAACTGTCGTATTGAGACCTTACATTTTTTTTGCCAATTCTTCAATTTTAAGTACAATCAGCCAAAATATTAGTCATTTTAGTCTGGGGCGTGTTGCTAATTGTTTTTCCCTTAAATATGAAGAACACATTTGCTACTAATGATACAAGCTTAGATATGGATTAAAAATTTTCTTCTGAATGTTTTGGTTGATGTTTAAGTGTGCGAAATGACTACAAAACTTTTTTTAATTTTTTTATCATGCTCTTAATGTGTTCAGCAAAATTAAATGCAAGCAGTGTGAAATAACTGCTAAAAAGCAGGCCTGTTGTTCAGCATAGAACAAAAAATTTATGGTTCTCAAATTTTGCCGCTTCTTTTAGCTTTCGATTAAATTGTTTTTTTTTCTTCAATTACAAAAACAGTTCAGATTTTTTGTAAGCAAAAAAAATTGAAACCATAAAAATGTGTATATACGAGCTAATCGAAATATTCCGGAGAACGCTAGAACTAAAACTTATATCAGAAATTTTTATGGTTACACTTTTGCTTTTGCGGTTTCAATTATAGAAGCCAGAAGGTTGACATAAAAGTTTCATGATTAAATGATTTTTCTAAATATTTTAAGTCCGGAAGACGTTCTAGTTCTCGTTTAGAAAATATTTTCTAAAAGGATACTGTACAAGCTGGAGTTTTGTTTGTCATTTTTGAATGTTCATGGCGTTTTTTTAGGACATGATCGTTTTATGTAATTTTTTTTGGAAAATCTTCAAAAATAGACTTTCATTGAGTATGGATGCGACAAAACGAAAGATTTTTTTATTTTGGAGTCAGAAATTTTTTCTCTCTTTCATTTGCGTTTCTATAAAATCCACAGTTTGGCCGAGTAATTTTGCGTTTTTGATGCGAATAACTTTTCTAATCTAATATATTGAGCTAACTGTTGTCGGCACAATTTGAAGTTCCTTGTACATATACTAAAATACAATGAAGAACATTCAACGAAATCACATCAAGAGAAATCGGTCATGCGTGAGTTCTTATCTCAAAAATTGTTTGAATCTCAAACACATTTAAAAAATATATTTCATCGGCAAAATATCGATGAATGAGCCGTTATAAAAATGTATGGTAAGTGTCTGCATTCACCAGTGTGTTTTTTTTTCAAGACAACTTATAATGGCCACTGAGTTTCTTTCTTAATTTATGACAATTTTCAGGGGCGGATCTGGGATTACCGAGAGTGGGGGGAGGTTGGTTTTTTGAGGTGGGCTTTTAGGTCAGCCATTCAAAAATTGAGGTCGCAAATTGGTCGAATTCCTGTGGATGGGCATCTACCTTCTCCCTTCAATCCGTCCCAACTCATTCCATTAAAAAGTTTGGTTCAAATGATAAATGCTAATTAGAGCAAACTGATTCAAAAAAAAGAACAAAGGTTTTGTGTGGCAACTAAAGCATGATTAGATTGTCCGCATGATAGCACGTCGGCGGATTTGTCTGTCGGCTAACTCGACAATAAAACGATTGAAGTTTGATTTGTCATGAATAGTCTACATTTGTGGTGGCTGTTTTAGTACTGCTGGTGCTGACGTCTTCACTTATGGGCGTCAGCCCATTTGAGCCCGAGCTGGAAACTGCTCGCGCGTCTCTTCTGAAATTATTGACTGGTTGTTGCTGCTGTTGTCTGTTTGGCGAGTTCTGATTGGTGGAATAGTTTGGCGTGTACTGATTGGTTGAATTGTGGAGATCGACGAATGCTTGTGACTGTGAGTTGACCACTAGCTCCTTTTGGGCGGCGAAGACAGAGTCGTCTGTAGTGAGCAGTTCGGGTCTGATCAGATAGCTGAAAATCACACAATGTTGACAACAAAACTAGCAATAAAAAACGGCCCTTTTTTCAAAATAATGACTCCTGGCTTGAAAATCCGGGTCGAGGTCCGCGGCTCATGTCCAGGCTTTCACGACAATTTTTTGGCATCTGTAGACTTTCGCTACCTGGTCTTTTTTTGCGACTTAGTTAATTGAGCTTGTTTTCCTTTAAAAATCAGATTTCTATTCGCTGATATTATTTTCAGCCAATCAAAGTCGAGCATTATGATCAAACTTTCAAAAGAGAAAAAAGGTTATTTCGGGCCGTATAACACGAAAAAATTGCAGTTATTTTTTCAGGTTTACTGTGCGAGGATATCAAAACTGCTTGTATCAGGGCAAAGCCCTGACTGTTTTGACTGCGTTGTAATTTCTATGGAGTAATTTAAAATAAGATAACTGATGAAATTTTCAAAACAAAACTTATACAAATTCAAAATATTTTTCTCTGCACTCTCTATGTAAAATTATCTCTGCACGCGCTATGTGAAGTAAAAAATGATAAATTTTGCAAATAGCAAAGCATTAAATAGACCAAAGAGCATGCCTCACTCCAATTTGGAACAACTTTCAATACAGATTAAATCTCCGCTTACGCGTTAATAGGACGAAGTATATAAGTTAATTGGCCAAATTAGTAATCTCTAAACCCCCACAGTTTTACAAAAAACAATAACTAAAAAGGTAAATTATCATAATTAATATGAGCTCAGAACAAAAGTTCCTTTTGAATGATAGAAAAAAAATTAAAAGTTGTTAAATAAAAAGTCAAAACTTGTCTGGAGAAAAAAAAACAACCTCGAGCACGTTGGAACACTCAGAATTATTTAAAAAGAGCTGCCGCGCTGATTTAAAATATTAGGACAAACGAAAGTGTTTTTTTTAAACTGTTTTTTTTTCTCGAATTGGGCCAAAGTTTGACAAAAAGTGAGAAGAACAGAACTTGATTTTTTTTACCAGAATTATTCTGGAGTAAATTATTTTACAGAATTCGGAACTAAAAATTTACACCAAAAATTGGGGAATTTCGTTTTTTTTAGTTTATCAAACATTACGCTGAAACTATCTACTAATTTATTTTAAAAATTACATCAAAAGAAGCCTCTTACACAGCTCAACAAAGTTCTAGAAAGGTAAAATCTAAAGCAAAAATATATTTTCATATATACTTTTTTGGAGATTTTACCATGCTAGAACTTTGTTGGGCTGTGTATGAGGCTTTTTATGCATATATTCTTTTATAAATTAAATTGGTGGTTTCAGCGTAATCTTTGATTAACTAAAACAAAACAAAATGGCGAAATTTTGGAGTAAATTTGTGGTTTCGAATTTCGCAAAGTAAATTATGTCATAATAATTCTGGTAAAATTGTAAGCCTTTTTTTTCTCTTTTATGTATAATTATAACCCAATTTGAGAAAAAGGCGCCCGAAATTTCAAATTTGTTCGTTTTGTGCGGATAATTTAAATCAGCGCTGTATTTGCCAATTTTGAGCAATTTTTGCCTGCAAGTTTTAATTTTTAGGTGAACTTGAAACATACTTTCTGCCAGAAAAAGAAACTTTTCCATGCGAAAAGTGTCTAAAATAGGTCTTTTGCTCTTTAATTATTTTCGTCTGTTCTTTTTATTTTTTTGCAACTCTCTATACTTGATCTAGATTCGATGCCCGAAAAGAATACGGCCAACAACTTGGCACTAACTACACTTACACAATGTCATCCTTGCGCAGTTTTGTGTTTGGTTCTGGGTTCACAATGACGAACTTCCGACTACCGCTGTTGTTCTCAGTGGATCCTAAAACACGCCGACAATAAGAAACTAATATTCAAAGCAACTGCAAATCCTTGTGAGTCACCCAGACAAGCGATGGTGAAACGCTGCGGTCTTCTCTTTCAGAAGAAAGGTCACTGGTTCGAGGCTCATCATGATCCGTGCTCTTAGCCTGCCCAGAAAAAAGTAAACGAAAAAAGTGCATATGTAGTTTTTAAACAAGGGCACAAAGGCGGCTCTTCGCATAAAGCTGATCCAGTTCATGGGTTGATTCTTTCTTTCGTGTATGAATCGTAATAAAAATCGTGAAATCTCATATTCAAAAAATGTATTGCCTGATTATGGGCCCTTTAAGTTCAGTTTGGGCTTTGAAAAAACCACCATTGTGCTCATTGGATAAATCAAAATATTTCTAAATAAGACATAATCACTTATGAGTTTTTATGATCTGAAAGGACTGCATAGCAGATCTGAAAATGGCTGGCTTAAAGAATTTACAGCGATGCTGATTACAGACTTCGCAAATTTTGCATTTTTATAACACAGAGGAATGTTTTGCTTGCCTTTGGCGTTTGAGTTAGTGTTGTTGTTGATTGCGGGGGGTTGTTGTGGGTTGTTCTGTGTGGAGGCGGGGGTTGAGGTAGCTTCTGCTTCCAGTCGGAGCATTCTGTCTTTGAGGATCTGTCTGATCTGGGCCTCACACATCAGCTGGTCCTGCAATGAGTCATACTTCTCTTCCATCTTCAGCACATCCACTTCGCTACGCGCACTCGCCTACAAGCAGAAAAAAAAACTCGATCATAGTCAGCAGCAAATATGACCTTCTGACCTCCCAAACGCCATTTATGGCCTGTTTCTTTTTTAAATTGGGCAAAACACGGCATTAATAGTGTTTGTTGGGAGAGCTTGCTAAACCAATTTGGCCCAACTAAAAAATGATCAAAAAATTCACCCCTCTTCGATAAAAATGCTGGGTAATTGGTATGTAATGATAAGATAACTAAGTTAATGCAACCCTGAAAATAGTTTGCTATTTTATTAAAAATATCACATAGTTAATTTGAAAAATAAAAATTAAACATATCCTATTTATAAAAACAGAATGGCCAGTTGGAAGTTTTAGTAGTTTTCATTCTTGTTTGTTAGGGGGCTCAGCTACTGACATTTAGATTCAAATCTTATTAACTACAAGGATATAGCCGGTTATTGCGCAAAAAGGACAGATTGTTCCCACCGCTGATTCAAAAAATAAATTGAAAAATAACGAAACAGTTCTTTATTTTTGGTCGAAACAGTGGTTGGAACAATAATTAAATTATATATAAAAATCATGTTCATTCTTTTTGCGTGAAATAATTTTAAAAAATGGCGGGAAAATGCATGTCGAGATTTTGGTTTTCTTTGGTACTGAAAATGATCCGATCATGACATTTCAGTAATTTGAAATTATGATGCACGAGCGGATCAACTTGCTGTTAATGCCGACCAAATTTATTTTCTCAACTTTTTTGCAACCAAAAAATTCAAAAACTGTCCAAAAGTGCGGTTTGTGGGCACTTTTTGAAAGGTTCGACCAAAAAATTTCTTTTTTTTTGTTTTTTTTTGGCTCTTTTTGGCTCTCTCTTCCCCCTCAAATTTACTATTTTTCGGCGTCAAAAGAATAGATGATTTTTATCGTCGAATAGCCAAAAATTGAGGACATAAAAGAACTCCGAAGCGAGATTCTTTGCCTGCTCAGGGGTCGAAAATCTGAAAGAAAAGGGTGTACCCCCTTTCCTCAGTCCGCTACTGCTATGATGTATCTATAACTTTTTGTAAACAAAATAGTTCACTTTTAACATAAAGTTGATAGATTAGAAACTTGTGATAGTTGGATGATTTTTTAATGATAATTTACGTCGCCAAATTGTCTGCAAACTAAATTGATGGTCTGGAATTGATCGTTTACAAAATGAGATCGCTTCTTGTTCTTGATTTTAGTAAATAAGCAAAAAGACTTACGGGACGCGAATTCTATAGAACATTTTATTTGAATTATAACTGATGTGGACAAAAAATTGAAAAATTAAAATTAATTTGATTCTAAGAAAACAAAGCACAGTGCTTATTTGTGCGTCTTGTGACATGTTTCTATTCCCTTAAAGAGAGCAATAATTACCTAAAATCAAAACGATTAAGAATACGAAAGACGCGCTAGAGATTCGTTCAAATATTGCTCACAGACAAAAACATATACGATCCAAAATGGTAATTGAGTTACACAACATAAAATGTATTGCCCATGATAAAATCGGCTAACTTGAAATAAAGGAATTTTTTTTGTCAAAAATAGAAAAAAGTTCAACCAAAACTTTATTTAGATTTTTATTATTTATTTAGAGAATAAATATGTTTTCGAAAAAACATCCTAGAACAAGACAGTAACTGAGATATTTTTAATATACACTGTGAATTGTCTCAAAATTTTTTGGATGTGTTCATGACCGAACACAAGTGACTAAAACTACGGTTTACTCAAAACTAGAGTCACCAAAAGTTTGATCGTCTGGCATTTACAATGCATTGGAAACGACCTGCATTGGGTAAGAGTTAGTTTCACAAATCATATACTGAAAGCATCAAACTTTAAAATTTTGGCAACAATTTTCAAAGATGATTATTTTTAAAATTAGAAATTTCAAATTATCCGACGTTGATCAAGGCATATATAAATATGCCATGCAAAAGGAATAGAAAATTCGATTTGAGTACAAAATTCGATTTGCGGTTAAGAAAAAATTTGAGGCAACTTCAATTTTTGTTGCCGCCATCGAAAAAATGCTAGTCATACATTTTTAATACATGAAAATTGCATAATAACCATTTTTTTCCAAAAAAAAAAGAAAACTAGTTTTTTTTCATCACCAGACTGTTTTATTTGGTTCCAATAGCCTCAGATATTAGTTCAAATGTTTTTTCAATGATTTTTGAAATTGCTTGAAAATTATATGATTAGCATTTTCCCATACATTTGATCTATGGAATTGTATGATAAGCGTTTTCGGTTAGTGGAGGTCAACCCGTGTACTCTGTTTCAGTCATTTGAACGATTCTTTTGTTGTAATTTCTCACCTGAGGACCCTAATTCTATTTCGCATATTGCTTACCTAAAATCATCAATATGTGAATTACCTCGTAACATTTCTACTTAAAGGCTAATAAACTGATTTAGATGTAGCTTTTTAAGCATTAGCAACTCCAAGTTGAACCGTATTGGGTCTAAAGCTCATGCGTGGTGACTTCACAGATGTCAAAATTCCTATATGATGAAACTTATTTTCGGATATTGAAAAACTTGTATGCAGGGTCTGAAAATAATTAATTGCTAAACATATGTTGACTTGAAGTTTTTTGTAACACAAATCACATTTTTTTCTTAAGACAGTAAATTTAAGCGTTTTATCTATTCAATTGTAATGAGAACAAGATTGGTCATATCAGTACGAGGACCTGAATATTCCGACTACCCTTTAAGGTCTGCAAAAAAGTTTTCAGTTTTGAAAATTTGTTGGAATCTTCAAAATGATATCGGATAACCAGTGGAATCTAATTAAAAATATCTCCCCCAGTATGGTATCTACTATGGTATCTACTGTATGGTATCTACTGAAAAGTCTCCACCCAATAAATTAAAATAGTTAACTAGCACTAGTGCTTATATTGAGAATTGGAATTTCGCTCAATTCTAATTGGTCAAAAATTCTAATAACTTAATCTACTTGACAATCTCCCCTATCGTGAAAAGTTGAAATTCATCGTCAGCTTTTAAGTTTTCCCGCCAAACACTATGTTTAAACAAAGTGCATTGATTATCGTTTGGTTACAAGCAAAGAAAATGGAAAAAAGAGCGCAAAACAGGCAAAGCAAAGTGAAAAAAGGAAAGTATTAAAAGTAAACCTTGAAAAAAATGTTGAGACGAGGAGTATACCATTCTCGCATCTGCTCCGCGACCGCTTGTATTTTTACTAACACTAAAGCATGAAAATAGCTTCTGCTTTCGACAGCCTGATTTTTAGATTGAAAATTTCCGCACCCTAATATTTTAGATTGAACCCCTAATATTGGATTTAGCTTTTAGTTTTTGAGAACAGTGATGAAATTTCTAAAAAAAAAACGATAATCATTTAAAACGATTTTTTCTGACGTCCATTTAAGCTTTTCTAGAAACAAAAAAGAGTAAAACAGGTTAAGCAGGTAAAATCTGAGCACCATGTTAGTTTAAACGAATTATCGACCTCAGAATCAGCAGTTTAATTTCAAAAAACGGTAAAAAACGGAAAGTTTTTGAGGAATGTCAGAAAGTTTAAAAATTAATCAAAATGTCAAAAAATGGGCTTGTTTGAGGCCATACATTTTTTCTCTACAAAATTTAGGAAAAAACCGCTTGAGAAAGGACATCACCATTTTTTGTTGTTTTGGGTGAAACTTTTTTCTCAGATTTGAACAGATTTGATTAATATTTGAGAAATTGAAATAACTCAAATTAAATAGGCCAAAAACTCCCGTACTGAATTTTTAATGGCAGTAGAACGTGAGTCAAAAATAAAAGTGATTAGCAAAATATGCAGGAACATAGAAGAGTAGACGATTTTTCCATTGGCATTTTTTGTTGTGAAAATTGGGTAGCAGTTTTTGAGAAAAGTTGAAAACTCTGCGAAAAGTGCAAAAAGTTTTCGAAGTGTCGCGACAAAAAAAAAACAAAAAACAACAAATCCCATACATTTTCATAAGCAATGTTTATTTCGAACAGAAGCTAACACTTGCCACAAATAAAGCAGCAACATATGTCATTTCAATGAATATGCTTAAATAAGCTTAAATATGATTAAATTGAAATGGACAAAAGTGCCACCAAATAAGCACTTTTATTTAAAACTTAGGTTAGAAAAAAGTCTTTGTAATAATACACTACGCTTTGCTTGTGTAAACACCAAATGGCGCAGAGACATTTCACTCACAGACCTTTCAGCTACTTTCAAACTCAGACAGTTCAGCCAAAGACATTTCGGCAAAATTAGATTAAAGAGACTAGATCACAAAGATATTTCAAATTTTTCTAATTTGACTAAAGTCAGAACGTGGTCAACTCTAATATACAAAAGTGTGATAAAAAACAACCATTTTCAAAAATCAAAGCGAATTTGCTATATGAAGATTTAAAGACTTGCACATTGAAGTAGCAAAATTTAAGTATTTCGGTATATGATGACCTCGATTATAGTTGCTTGCTTTTCGAAAGGGTTTTTTGTGGGCCATGAATCTTTGGGCTTTGATTTTCTGATAGTATACCATGAGTCTTTCTATATCGATTTTGGCATTTTTTTGCTCCTCCTTAAAAGGTGTGATGAGCTGGGGGAGGTATGGGTGTTATGTGGCAAAGCTACCATTCCATGCCTCCAATGCATTATTTATACGAGATTCTCCGAGCATAAAATTAAAAACGCTTGTTTATTTTTTGAAACTGGCCCACTTGGCAATTTTAAAATCCTCAACGTTCAAAAAAAATTAATCAAAAGTGAAATTGACATACAAAATGACACCGAGCAGAATTATTCCAATGAATTTCTAGTGAGCAAGGATATCCGGTCTCAAAATTTATTACAAATTGAAATGAAGAAAACTTGCTGGTCCGAGCAAGGAAAAGTCAGTTCTATCGCTTTGCAAATGATATTTTCTGTGGGTAAAACAAGTATTTTGATGCCGGCTCGGCTCGAAAAATTTTAGGCCAGCGTTTCAGGGTGCAAAACAACGATTCGCAACAAATGAAAGTTCGCAATGCGAACTTGTAATAAGCGACAACTCGCAAATAGGTTTAATATCTCTTATATTTTCAAATATCGAGCAAAACAATCTAGACTAGCAGCAAACACTGATCCACGCGAGTTATTGCACTGAGTTTTTTTAATCTTGTTAGGAATATATTTTGTAATAGGAAGAGGGTTGAAGCAATTAACAAAATGCATACTCTATTTCAAAAAATGATAAGCTGCAAGGATGTAGTTTGATTTTGCGAAAACAAACCTGTTTCTTGTATAGCTCAGGCGAAACTCTAGGGTTCTTTTTCGGTTGCTAAACAAAATGGTGCGTCTATTAAACATAGAGCAAACGAGAATATAAAGCATAGCAGGTCATACAAAAGCTAAAATGAGAGATCTAATTTACTTAAAAAGTGTCTAAGAATTGAACAGCTGTTATGTATGTGCAAGTTAGTTTAATGCAAAAAAGTAGCAATGCTAAAATAACGAAACACCAGCTCAGCAAACCGGCCAAACATCCTCAAATTTCTTTGATTGTAGTGTTGTGAGGTAACACCAGAAAAATTTCAAAAATTTATAGGACGATAGCATCGAATTTTATTTTTTTTATTTGTAAAATTCAGGTTTTCTGAAATTGTCTATTAAATTTGATATACTTTTTGTATACCCTCATTGCACAAAAAACAATCAAGGGACCAGAACAAGTTAACATAAGTCGATAACCCCTCCCCAATGGTTAAACGAAGATCATGATAAATTAGCTTTAACTTCGGATTTTTCCGCCAAAAATTACAATCGAGCATTTTACAGGCAGCGCTCAGCAATTTAATCCAATTTGAACCTTGAGGAGGATTGTGTTAAGCTCATCTATTTTTTTTGCGGGGGGGGGGGGTCGGGGATCAAAATCATTACTTATGAATACATACACGGGGTCAATTAAAACTTTTTCAATTATTTCAGAAATAATTGAAGTTCCTTCCGTTTTAATAACTGTTTGGAGGTCGGTTTGCTTTTTATGCGCGATTACAAAGAAGTGCAGTCGTCTTGAAATCTACTTGTCTAATGTACTGCTTTTGCGATAATCAGTTTGTGATCATGAGGGGGGGGAGGGGGTGCGACTCACATTGAGAAGGGTAAAAAGGGGAGACGTGGAGGGGGAGCCAAATGCAAAGTTGAAGCAACTTTTGGCCTCTTTTTCCTCTAGTTCGGCTACTTCGATTGCGTCGGCCTCCTAGTTCGAGAAATATTACGTCAAAAATGTTTAAAATAAATAAAAGACCGAATTCGAAATGACCAGCCCAATACACGAGCTGTCCTACTTTATCGATTTTTATTTCACATTCGCTTATAGTTAGAACTAATTCAATGTAAATTTAAAATACACAAGCCAGGTCGAAGTTTTAGTTGTACCTTGTGGCCTGCATTTGTCCAAAAATCATTCAGAAAAAGAAGTTTCATGCAAGGCCTTTTGAGGAATTGTGTGGTGCACAGACTTACGGGATCTGTGGGAAGACTGCGGTATATTCCAATGGGGATCTCGAAGTGTTTCTCAATCATCTCCTGGTAGTACTCTGAGAATGTCTTAGAAGAACAGATGTCACCCCCTTTACACTCCTCCTCGCTCTCGCCCACCACACGCTGAAAACAAAACAAATACATCTAGAATCTTATCAAAAACTCATACTTTTTTAACATGCTTTGATAGGAGTGAGAAGGGGAGATCAGATGGCTTGGAGATATGGTATAGCTGCATAGGTGGGTGGAGACTCATAGTAAAAAGAAGTGGCCGGGAATTGGACGCGCCTCGAAGAACTCGACATCTTCGCCAAACAAACTTTTCTCAACTTTTTTTACTTGGCACCTTTTCACGACACCCATTGAAACTGCGTAAAGCAACTACTTCTGCAGAAATTTTTTTAGCGGAACTCAATATGAAATTCTTAACAAACGCGTTTTTCTGAGAGCGATTGCCAGTTTTCATGAAAAAATCCATTATATCCTTCCTAAAATATAACTTTAATCAAATGAACAGCAAAATTCAGTTGAGCTTACGAAAATGAGTGTTCCAGATCCGGCATTCTGTTTGAGTCCAATGAGCAAATAGACCACTGATATGATGTAAGGCTTCACATAGCTCTGATACAACAAAGTGTCCAACATACTAGTGCTAATTGCAGACCCCGACACGAAAGCAGGCCTGAACAGATCTTGGTCTTGAGGAGTGGCTTCCAGGGCCTTCTTCTGGGAGAAGGAGAGATTCTTGGGTGCATTCTGGCTGTAGTGGATACCGAGGAACCGCATATTTGCAGGGTATGTGAGCTCTGTTATTATTTCCAGATCCGGGAACATCCTACAAGAAAAAAGTAAACTAATGGACATCTCATGTTAACTTAAAATTCATTTTGCAATGTCCATAAAAATTATCTTTATTTTGTACAACGCAGTGTATTTCCTTTCATGTTTTTCATAGAAAATGTTGGTTTTCAATCAAATTTTTTTGGCATGATTATTTTAATGAAAATTCGGTTGGTCTTTGAAGCCAAAATGCTGTAACGAATTGATTCTTCTATTAGATGACCTTGGGCTGATCTGACTGAACTAAAATGGAATTACAGACTGGAGGAGGGTCTATGAGACGAATGGTCTAATTACAAAATGAAAATCGCTAATGTAGTCTGGCTGATACATGTTGCGCGCTTGTCGGTTCTGAGACCGGGACTGTATGAACAAGAATGTATACGGTTTAAAGGTATGAATGCATTTTAAAAAAATCGATTAAATATGAATTATTGGACTTCCTTTATTCTGCTAAAATTTTGTATGTTTAGTTGCCATATTACACATCTTGTTTTTCCTGTAAGCAACTTTCATTGCAAGTGTTGTTCTTTGTAGGTCCAGGGAGGTGGACTTGAAATATTTTTTTTTCGGCTCAACAGGTGTCTGCTCAAAGATTGTCGGCTTAGTTGCCACATCACTGATTTTTCTTTTCTTGTGCTGTAGGTAACTGCCCTTGTAGTCGAAAGTGCAAGTGTTGCTCATTCTAATCTCAGGTTGGAACTTAAAACTGTAAAAAAAAGTTCTGAAATTATGTTTTTTTTTCTGCTCAGTTTCTGCTCAAAGATTGCCGGCTTTGTTTCCTCTTCGTAAATTTTGTTCCGTTGCTAATTTATTACCCACTTTTCTTGCATCTTAGCCTAGAATGGATTTCTATCAAGACATTCGAAAATTTCTTTTTTGGTAGGCCTAGCTTTTCATGATTTTTATGATGTTTTTTATGATTGCGTTTAATCGCAAGTGGTTCGAAGATCCGCTTTGCCTGTGTCAAAAATTTTAGGCATAGTTGCACTGGATCAATTTGTAATTATAAACGTGCCAGGCGATTGCTGGCGCGGAGCGCCATTGTGCTTAAAGCCCGCCCACCGCCAGATCACTGTGATGAAACTTTCATGATCATAAATTTTATTCCACTAATTTTGTTTTAGCGCTTTGCTCTTTGATGCGTTCTGCACTGAGATGTGTTCTGCTCTTAGACCATTCTGCCTGATGCTCCGACAGACACTTGACAAACTGACTACTGACCTTGAGAGGAAGTAGACGTTGACGACACTGCCACTGTCGGCCATGTATGACTCCTCGGCCCACTTGCTGCTCTCCTTGTCCACTATGACCAGAGTCTCCGCCTGGGTCACTCCCGCCCGGATCAGATCATTCAACACATCCAGTCTACCTGGACACAATCAAAAAGAGTATCATATGACATGTGTCAATCAAACAAAGCGGCATGTGTCACAATCAAAAGTGCGGTGATTGGAGACCCAACGACTAAATTATTGTTTAACGACGATTAATCAATTCCTGATCCAGAAACAGACTGTTTTTTTTCCTATAAGGAGCTGAAATTCTTCTCTCCTGAGTTAATTGTCTTTTTCTTAAAAGTAATCTTCCTGCGCATGTAAGCCTTTGTTAAACCTTCAATAATGACAATTAATTCAATTCAAAGAGAGCACCATCATTGAAAATATATATTTCGGCGATGAACGAGTCTAAGTTTAAAGATGTAGATGTCATGTGTTGCTTGCAACGCTTTCAGTTACCTAGTGTTAACTCTTTTGCATTACTTATTTAATATTTACTTCAGCCTCCTTGACACACCTATGCAGAAGTACTTCTTTCGTAATACTCTTCTATATTCTATGTGCTCGTTGTTTGAGGCTGAATCAACATTACCCAGCCCAAAAAAAAAAACAAAAAAAACCAATTCCATGTAGTTCTTAAACAGGGGCACAACAGCGGTTCGCCGTGATGAGCTGTACAGCTCGTATGTTTGTCCTTTTCCCAGTTGTACACCTCGTATGTTGGATAAATGGTCTTAATTAATATAATACGTCATTGTTGTTTAGCTACCTATGCAGTAGTAGACTTGGGGGTAGTAGGAGATGGCAGCTAGGAAATTCACATCGGGGTTGTTCTCACTCATGATGATGATGGGGGTGAGGGCTGTCCTGTCTCTGCAGTGGTGTCTCAGGGGAACTATGAAGTTACAAATGGCCACCTGGAAAAAAAAGAAACACCATTATGATGATGGGGATGAGGGCTGTCCTGTCTCTGCAGTGGTGTCTCAGGGGAACTATGAAGTTACAAATGGCCACCTGGAAAAAAAAGAAACACCATGATGATGATGGGGATGAGGGCTATCCTGTCTCTGCAGTGGTGTCCCAGGGGAACTATGAAGTTACAAATGGCCACCTGGAAAAAAAAGAAACACCATGATGATGATGGGGGTGAGAGCTGTCCTGTCTAGGCAGTGGTGTCTCAGGGGAACTATGAAGTTACAAATGGCCACCTGGAAAAAAAGAAACACCATGATGATGACGGGGGTGAGGGCTGTCCTGTCTCTGCAGTGGTGTCTCAGGGGAACTATGAAGTTACAAATGGCCACCTGGAAAAAAAAAACAGAAACATCAAGATGATGATGGGGTTGAGGGCTGTCCTGTTTCTGCAGTGGTGTCTCAGGGGAACTATGAAGTTACAAATGGCCACCTGGAAAAAAAAGAAACACCATGATGATGATGGGGATGAGGGATGTCCTGTCTCTGCAGTGGTGTCTCAGGGGAACTATGAAGTTACAAATGGCCACCTGGAAAAAAAAGAAACACCACGATGATGATGGGGATGAGGGCTGTCCTGTCTCTGCAGTGGTGTCTCAGGGGAACTATGAAGTTACAAATGGCCACCTGGAAAAAAAAGAAACACCATGATGATGATGGGGGTGAGGGCTGTCCTGTCTCTGCAGTGGTGTCTCAGGGAACTTTGAAGTTACAAATGGCCACTCGGAAAAAAAAGAAACGCCATGATGATGATGAAGGTGAGGGCTATCCTCTCTCTGCAGTGGTGTCTCAGGGGAACTATGAAGTTCCAAATGGCCACCTGGAAAAAAAATGAAACACCATGATGATGATGGAGGTGAGAGCTGCCCTGTCTCTGCAGTAGTGTCTCAGGGGAACTATGAAGTTACAAATGGCCAACTGGAAAAAAGAAACATCATCATGATAATGGGGGTGAGGGCTGTCCTGTCTCTGCAGTGGTGTCTCAGGGGAACTATAAGTTACAAATGGCCACCTGAAAACAAAAACAGAAACATCATGATGATGATGTTGGGGGTGAGGGCTGCCCTGTCTCTCTCTGCAGTGGTGTCTCAGAGGAACTATGAAGTTACAAATGGCCAACTGGAAAAAAAAACAGAAACATCATGATGATGATGGGGGTGAGGGCTGTCCTGTCTCTGCAGTGGTGTCTCAGGGGAACTATGAAGACATCACTGGCCACCTGGAAAAAAGGCCACCTGGAAAAAAAAACGAAACATCATGATGATGATGGGGTGAGGGCTGTCCTGTCTCTGCAGTGGTGTCTCAGTGGAACTATGAAGTTACAAAGGGCCACCCGGAAAAAAAAAACAGAAACATCATGATGATGATGGGGGTGAGGGTTGTCCTGTCTCTGCAGTGGTGTCTCAGGGAAACTATGAAGTTACAAATGGCCACCTGGAAAAAAAACCAGAAACATCATGATGATGATGGGTGTGAGGGCTGTCCTGTCTCTGCAATAGTATCTCAGGGGAACACCATTGCAGAGCCACCTATGAAGACACCAATGGAACTATGAAGACACCACTGTCTTCTATGAGTTGGAACTATGAAGACACCACTGTCCACCTGGAAAAATGGCCACCTGGAAAAAAACAGCAACATTATGATGATGATGGGGGTGAGGGATGTCCTGTCTCTGCAGTGGTGTCTCAGGGGAACTATGAAGTTACAAATGGCCACCTGGAAAAAAACAAAAAAATCTCAATGATGGCGGGGGTGAGGGTTGTCCTGTCTCTGAAGTGGTGTCTCAGGGGAACTATGAAGTTACAAATGGCCAACTGGAAAAAAAAACAGGAAAATCATGATGATGATGGGGGTGAGGGCTGTCCTGTCTCTGCAGTGGTTTCTCAGGGGAACTATGAAGTTACAAATGGCCACCTGGAAAAAAAACAGAAACATCATGATTATGATGGGGAAGAGGGCAGTCCTGTCTCTGCAGTGGTTTCTCAGGGGAACTATGAAGTTACAAATGGCCACCTGGAAAAAACAGAAATATCATGATGATGATGGGGTTGATGGCTGTCCTGTCTCTGCAGTGGTGTCTCAGGTGAACTATGAAGTTACAAATGGCCACCTGAAAAAAAAACAGAAACATCATGATGATGATGGGGGTGACGGCTGTCCTGTCTCTGCAGTGGTGTCTCAGGGGAACTATAAAAATACAAATGGCCACCTGGAAAAAAACAGAAACATCATAGTGATGATGGGGGTGAGGGCTGTCCTGTCTCTGCAGTGGTGTCTCAGTGGAACTATGAAGTTAAAAATGGCCGCCTGGAAAAAAAAACAGAAACATCATGATGATGATGGGGGTGAGGGTTGTCCTGTCTCTGCAGTGGTGTCTCAGGGAAACTATGAAGTTACAAATGGTCACCTGGAAAAAAAACCAGAAACATCATGATGATGATGGGTGTGAGGGATGTCCTGTCTCTGCAGTGGTGTCTCAGGGGAACTATGAAGTTACAAATGGCCACCTGGAAAAAAACAAAAAAATCTCAATGATGGCGGGGGTGAGGGTTGTCCTGTCTCTGAAGTGGTGTCTCAGGGGAACTATGAAGTTACAAATGGCCAACTGGAAAAAAAAACAGGAAAATCATGATGATGATGGGGGTGAGGGCTGTCCTGTCTCTGCAGTGGTTTCTCAGGGGAACTATGAAGTTACAAATGGCCACCTGGAAAAAAAACAGAAACATCATGATTATGATGGGGAAGAGGGCTGTCCTGTCTCTGCAGTGGTTTCTCAGGGGAACTATGAAGTTACAAATGGCCACCTGGAAAAAACAGAAATATCATGATGATGATGGGGTTGATGGCTGTCCTGTCTCTGCAGTGGTGTCTCAGGTGAACTATGAAGTTACAAATGGCCACCTGAAAAAAAAACAGAAACATCATGATGATGATGGGGGTGACGGCTGTCCTGTCTCTGCAGTGGTGTCTCAGGGGAGCTATAAAAATACAAATGGCCACCTGGAAAAAAACAGAAACATCATAGTGATGATGGGGGTGAGGGCTGTCCTGTCTCTGCAGTGGTGTCTCAGGGGAACTATGAAGTTACAATTGGCCACCTGAAAAAAAAACAGAAACATGATGATGATGATGGGAGTGAGGGCTGTCCTGTCTCTGCAGTGGTGTCTCAGGGGAACAATGAAGTTACAAATGGCCACCTGGAAAAAATACAGAAACATCATGATGATGATGGGGATGAGGGCTGTCCTGTCTCTGCAGTGGTGTCTCAGTGGAACTATGAAGTTAAAAATGGCCGCCTGGAAAAAAAACAGAAACATCATGATGATGATGGGGGTGAGGGTTGTCCTGTCTCTGCAGTGGTGTCTCAGGGAAACTATGAAGTTACAAATGGCCACCTGGAAAAAAAACCAGAAACATCATGATGATGATGGGTGTGAGGGCTGTCCTGTCTCTGCAATAGTATCTCAAGGGAACACCATTGCAGAGCCACCTATGAAGACACCAATGGAACTATGAAGACACCACTGTCTTCTATGAGTTGGAACTATGAAGACACCACTGTCCACCTGGAAAAATGGCCACCTGGAAAAAAAACAGAAACATCATGATGATGATGGGGGTGAGGGCTGTCCTGTCTCTGCAGTGGTGTCTCAGGGGAATTATGAAGTTACAAATGGCCACCTGGAAAAAAAAACAGAAGCATCATGATGATGATGGGAGTGAGGACTGTCCTGTCTCTGCAGTGGTGTCTCAGGGAAACTATGAAGTTACAAATGGCCACCTGGAAAAAAAACCAGAAACATCATGATGATGATGGGTGTGAGGGCTGTCCTGTCTCTGCAATAGTATCTCAGGGGAACACCATTGCAGAGCCACCTATGAAGACACCAATGGAACTATGAAGACACCACTGTCTTCTATGAGTTGGAACTATGAAGACACCACTGTCCACCTGGAAAAATGGCCACCTGGAAAAAAACAGCAACATTATGATGATGATGGGGGTGAGGGATGTCCTGTCTCTGCAGTGGTGTCTCAGGGGAACTATGAAGTTACAAATGGCCACCTGGAAAAAAACAAAAAAATCTCAATGATGGCGGGGGTGAGGGTTGTCCTGTCTCTGAAGTGGTGTCTCAGGGGAACTATGAAGTTACAAATGGCCAACTGGAAAAAAAAACAGGAAAATCATGATGATGATGGGGGTGAGGGCTGTCCTGTCTCTGCAGTGGTTTCTCAGGGGAACTATGAAGTTACAAATGGCCACCTGGAAAAAAAACAGAAACATCATGATTATGATGGGGAAGAGGGCTGTCCTGTCTCTGCAGTGGTTTCTCAGGGGAACTATGAAGTTACAAATGGCCACCTGGAAAAAACAGAAATATCATGATGATGATGGGGTTGATGGCTGTCCTGTCTCTGCAGTGGTGTCTCAGGTGAACTATGAAGTTACAAATGGCCACCTGAAAAAAAAACAGAAACATCATGATGATGATGGGGGTGACGGCTGTCCTGTCTCTGCAGTGGTGTCTCAGGGGAACTATAAAAATACAAATGGCCACCTGGAAAAAAACAGAAACATCATAGTGATGATGGGGGTGAGGGCTGTCCTGTCTCTGCAGTGGTGTCTCAGGGGAACTATGAAGTTACAATTGGCCACCTGAAAAAAAAACAGAAACATGATGATGATGATGGGAGTGAGGGCTGTCCTGTCTCTGCAGTGGTGTCTCAGGGGAACAATGAAGTTACAAATGGCCACCTGGAAAAAATACAGAAACATCATGATGATGATGGGGATGAGGGCTGTCCTGTCTCTGCAGTGGTGTCTCAGTGGAACTATGAAGTTAAAAATGGCCGCCTGGAAAAAAAACAGAAACATCATGATGATGATGGGGGTGAGGGTTGTCCTGTCTCTGCAGTGGTGTCTCAGGGAAACTATGAAGTTACAAATGGCCACCTGGAAAAAAAACCAGAAACATCATGATGATGATGGGTGTGAGGGCTGTCCTGTCTCTGCAATAGTATCTCAAGGGAACACCATTGCAGAGCCACCTATGAAGACACCAATGGAACTATGAAGACACCACTGTCTTCTATGAGTTGGAACTATGAAGACACCACTGTCCACCTGGAAAAATGGCCAACTGGAAAAAAAACAGAAACATCATGATGATGATGGGGGTGAGGGCTGTCCTGTCTCTGCAGTGGTGTCTCAGGGGAATTATGAAGTTACAAATGGCCACCTGGAAAAAAAACAGAAGCATCATGATGATGATGGGAGTGAGGACTGTCCTGTCTCTGCAGCGGTGTCTCAGGGGAACAATGAAGTTACAAATGGCCACCTGGAAAAAATACAGAAACATCATGATGATGATGGGGATGAGGGCTGTCCTGTCTCTGCAGTGGTGTCTCAGTGGAACTATGAAGTTAAAAATGGCCATCTGGAAAAAAAACAGAAACATCATGATGATGATGGGGGTGAGGGTTGTCCTGTCTCTGCAGTGGTGTCTCAGGGAAACTATGAAGTTACAAATGGCCACCTGGAAAAAAACCAGAAACATCATGATGATGATGGGTGTGAGGGCTGTCCTGTCTCTGCAATAGTATCTCAGGGGAACACCATTGCAGAGCCACCTATGAAGACACCAATGGAACTATGAAGACACCACTGTCTTCTATGAATTGGAACTATCAAGACACCACTGTCCACCTGGAAAAATGGCCACCTGGAAAAAAAACAGAAACATCATGATGATGATGGGGGTGAGGGCTGTCCTGTCTCTGCAGTGGTGTCTCAGGGGAACTATGAAGTTACAAATGGCCACCTGGAAAAAAAACAGAAAAATCACAATGATGGCGGGGGTGAGGGTTGTCCTGTCTCTGAAGTGGTGTCTCAGGGGAACTATGAAGTTACAAATGGCCAACTGGGAAAAAAAACAGGAAAATCATGATGATGATGATGGGGGTGAGGGCTGTCCTGTCTCTGCAGTGGTTTCTCAGGGGAACTATGAAGTTACAAATGGCCACCTGGAAAAAAAACAGAAACATCATGATTATGATGGGGAAGAGGGCTGTCCTGTCTCTGCAGTGGTGTCTCAGGTGAACTATGAAGTTACAAATGGCCACCTGAAAAAAAAACAGAAGCATCATTATGATGATGGGAGTGAGGACTGTCCTGTCTCTGCAGCGGTGTCTCAGGGGACATATGAAGTTACAAATGGCCACCTGGAAGAAACAGCAACATTATGATGATGATGGGGGTGAGGGCTGTCCTGTCTCTGCAGTGGTGTCTCAGGGGAACTATGAAGTTACAAATGGCCACCTGGAAAAAAAACAGAAAAATCACAATGATGGCGGGGGTGAGGGTTGTCCTGTCTCTGAAGTGGTGTCTCAGGGGAACTATGAAAATACAAATGGCCACCTGGAAAAAAACCAGAAACATCATAGTGATGATGGGGGTGAGGGCTGTGCTGTCTCTGCAGTGGTGTCTCAGGGGAACTATGAAGTTACAATTGGCCACCTGAAAAAAAAAACAGAAATATCATGATGATGATGGGGGTGATGGCTGTCCTGTCTCTGCAGTGGTGTCTCAGGTGAACAATGAAGTTACAAATGGCCACCTGGAAAAAATACAGAAACATCATGATGATGATGGGGATGAGGGCTGTCCTGTCTCTGCAGTGGTGTCTCAGGGGAACTATGAAGTTAAAAATGGCCACCTGGAAAAAAAAAACAAGAAACATCATGATGATGATGGGAGTGAGGGCTGTCCTGTCTCTGCAGTGGTGTCTCAGGGGAACTATGAAGTTAAAAATGGCCACCTGGAAAAGAAAATAGATACGTCATGATGATGATGTGGGTAAGGGCTGTCTTGTCTCTGCAGTGGTGTCTCAGGGGAACTATGAAGTTACAAATGGCCACCTGGAAAAAAAAACAGAAACATCATGATGATGATGGGGATGAGGGCTGTCCTGTCTCTGCAGTGGTGTCTCAGGGGAGCTATGTAGTTACAAATTGCCACCTGGAAAAAAAACAGAAACATCATGATGATGATGGGGGTGACGGCTGTCCTGTCTCTGCAGTGGTGTCTCAGGGGAACTATGAAGTTACAAATGGCCACCTGGAAAAAAAAAACAGAAACATCATGATGATGGGGGTGAGGGCTGTCCTGTCTCTGCAGTGGTGTCTCGGGGGAACTATGAAGTTACAAATGGCCACCTGAGACAGACAGAAACAGAAAAAAAAGTGATTTCACCCCACTGTTAAAAATCATTTTGGACAAGGAACGATTCAAAAATACACATCTGTTCTGCTTAAAAAATAGGCATTAAAGTTCAATTACAGAGCAAACAGTTAGACGGTAAAAACCACTTCATGCTTGAAAGGAGTGAAAAAAAAGAAAAAATAGAGAAACGTCAATAATTTCACAAAAAAACCTACTTTAATCTAATTAATGGTGTATTAAGTTACCGACGGCACTTCGACACAGAGGAGGGTGAGTGGGTTTTTGAAGTTGTATTCTTGAGCGCAGGTGCGCTGGTCATGCTCACAGGGCTTGAACAGATTGAGACAGCAGATCTTCCTGTTCTGCGGCAGCAAGTAGCAGACAGGTGCCTAGAACAGATTTTAAACAGTTGATGAAACAGTTTCGATGATTGGAAAAATTAGAAACAGGGGCAGCAGACAGTTAGGAAAGTGTCAGCGAACTCAAGAAGGCCAAAAAAACTGAGTTTCGATGAAAAAACATGAAGAGTCTTTGAACTTCAAAATACTTTTATAACCATCCTTTTTTCAGTTGAAATTAATCCGCGAAAAATGAACGGGTAAACTTTTAAATCCGCTGAAAAATCTAAAAACAAACTTTCGAAACAGAACATCTTTAACGCTTTTTCGCTGCACTTGAATTTTTCTTATCCGAGAGTGCAGTTTGCCTTTCTTATACAATTTGATTTGAACTTGAAGGTCGAATCAAAAGACAAATCTCGAAAAATCAAAAATGGGCGTGAACAAATTTTAAGATCTTGTCTGATGAAAAAAAAACCAACACTACCTATAAAATCGTCTTCACTACTTTCACTACAGCCTGTATCCAACTTTAATTGAAACAGTGTACTTTTTCACACAGAATAAAGCACCTGATACAATTTATCATAACATTTTGCTGACAAAAAGTAATTTTACTGCTTGAAAGTCCTATACGACAACTACTTAATTATTACCCTATTAACTGATAACTGTTTTATTGTTCTAAATATAGAAAAAAAACAGAATATTTATGCTTGGTGTGGTTTTTTCAGTCAAGTTTCGGCTATCGAACTATTAGTTTTTCACTCAAAAGTTTTTTTTTCATTAAAATATCGACTCCCTGATATCAAATTTAAAAAGATGTTTTACCTCATTTAATTTTTTGCAAAGTTTTAGTAATTTAAAAATTGCCAATTTGGCAATGCTCTGAATTATGCGCACTTTTAAGATTTTGTGTATAACCCTAAAAGCGTAACACAATTTTTTTATGCGTGGCGAACTATCTCGCGCAACGAAATTGTTCCAGATTGAGTTGAGGCTAGCTAATCGGTCGTATTAATTTCGCACAACTCAAATTTTCACACTTAATTTTTGATATTGTCCAAAATTTATAGTTTTTAAATACCTTCTTATCCTAAAAACCTATTTGATATGAGTTAAAGGGCAGTCAGAAGATTCAGGGCTTTGCCCTGATATACGAGCAGTCTTAAGTTTACGATCCAAGATGAACTTAAGTAAAATTTTCAAGCAATCTGACTTAGGTCTGTAATTTTTCGAAGAAAGTGACGGAATATTTGTGCTCCAGTCAGTTTTTTTTCGGAATTTATCGGAAGTTATTCAAAAGGAACTGTTCGGAAGTTATTCGGAACTTAGTCAAAAGGTAATTTTATGTTGAGCTCAAGTGGAAAAGTTATTTCACCTTTGCCTATTTTTCGTAATGTTATGGGATTTATAGATTGCGATTTGACCAATTTGGTATAATTAACGCGCGAATTATTTCGTGCTTGTAACGCGCAAGCGGAGATAGAATCTGTCGTAGAAATCGCTCCAAACTGAATCGAGCCGTGCTATTTGGCCTTATTAATACTTTGCTTATGCAAATTTTATCACTTTGAACTTTACATAGCGTGTGAGGCGTTGACTTTCAAAGAATATCTCAAAAAAAGTTATGAAAAGTAATTTAGTTTTTTTTGTTCCGACTTTCGATACGAAAGTAACGGAATATTTGTGCTCGGGGTGGGTTTTTTTTTTCTTCAGACAAATTTCGACTTTTTAACTAGCCATTTTTGACGGAATTTTTTATATCATTCGAAAGCCATTGTTGTCCTGAACTTAAATTTGAAAAGATATTTTACGTGTGATCATTTTTCGTGAAGTTATGAGGGTTTAAAGATTGCCATTTTGGCCATTTTGACCAATTTGGGACAATTAACGCGCGATATAATTCGCGCTACTAACGCGTAAGCGGAGATTTAATCCGTCATATAAATCGTTCCAAATTGGTTGAACGAAGCTTATTTGCCATAATTGATTTGTTACAGGAACGAAATCTGTCTTTTTGTGTTTTATATGGTGTGTGTGGGGATGATTTTCATAAAAAAGTTCAAATTTTGGAAAAAAAAATTTCATTTTATTTTATTTCATTAAATTTTTTATGTTATTACTGCTGCTCCATAAACCTTAAAAGGCAGTCGGAACATTCAGGGCTTCGCCCTGATACGAGCAGTCTTGTTTAATTTTCAATCCGTTTTTTAAAGCGAACACAACTCAATAGATCTCAAAATGCAGTCGAAAATTCTAGGGCCTTGCTTTGATACGAACAGGCCTGCTTAACTATATAGCTTCAAATTTGCAATCATTCAATTTGTGTTACATGTTGGCAAAACTTTGGTTAGAATTAGCACCAGGAAAAACGCTTAATTAGTTTGTTGAATTGAACGCCGGTCGAAAACCAATGAATGATAATAAACTTTTTCTGATCACAAATAAGACTAACACCTCTTTTTTGTGACTAAAACAGTAGAAACAGTTCAAGTAAAAAACAGGCACAATTGAAAATTGGCTTGGGGGGGGGGGAGGGGAGGATGTTAACTTGGTCCAGTTAGAATGATATACTCGATCTCTTCATAGTGCAGTTTTTGATTATGTAACTGATTCAAAATAACTATTAGGATATCCCAGTTGAAAAATTTGAAACAATTTTACTCTGTTTTGATTAACTTACTACTATTTTTTGATGTTGGTCAGTACGAAACGAGATGAAACTTTAACGAACGTCAACCTCAGCTCAAAAAGTATTCAATTTTTTTGACTGCATATTTTATTTCTTCTTTTGCACAAACTACTTGTTTTCAACCATCTATGTCGAAATCCTTTATCACCACACTTTGGATGAATAAAACAATGCGTGTACATTAGTAAAGGGGAAAGATAGGGAGTGTGTGTTTGTGTGTGTGGGGGGGGGGGTGACTTGCCTGGAAGCAGGGATAGGGCGCGGTGGGGTACCCCTCAATGTAAGACTCCTCTATGCTGCCCGGAATCACTGACTCGCGACGCTTCTTCATCGAAGTCATCACCACATCTGAACACAACAAAAAGCTCAAACTTCTTAACCAACCCCGAATTTCAAATCGTTGATGAAAAAGATAGAAAATCGCTACAAAAATTATTCTCCGTCGACCAATTTAACGACTTTGAGTCTATCATAAAGTTTCAGAAAATCAGAATCAGAAAATCTAATATTTTGTGCAAATTCTTCCCATGAATAGTCTATAAAATAACAATTCTGAGCTTTTCTGTAAACTTAAAAGCTTTCAGATATATGCCTATAAAAGATAAAACGCAGTCAACGTGAAACTGTCAGAAAGAATGATATGAAAAAAAAACTAGAACTTCAATGAAAATATCCCAGGGCTAAATCAAATTTCATATTTTTTGTCTGGAAATTTTCCTTTGACTTACCTTCTTCTCTTGAGCAACATTTCAACTTTCTTATTTTGAATTAACACTTCTTTTAAATTATTTCATTAAAAAACTAAGTTGATAATTGACACTAGAGCTGAAAAGTTTAAATGCAAAATTCTAACCGCTAATTTAATCAGGGGCGGATCTAGGATTTTCTCGAGGGGGGGGGATTATTTTTGGAAAATGTTATACAAAACACGCGTTTTTTCGGCGCGCGCTCCCCCCTTAAAATTAGTATATTTTGACGCCAAAGGCGCCCCTAGAAAAATTTTAGGGTACGTCACCAAAAATGGATATCACAACACAAAATAGTACAAAGGGGGGGGGGAACCTTTGGGTCGGCAGGGGGTCGAATCCCTGAGGGGGAGGGCGTCCGCCCCCTTCCCCTAAATCCGCACCTGAATTTAAAATCTAATCAGATTATCTGGGAACAGTACAAAAAATACGGAATTGGAAATGTACAGTGGTGAAAATAATGTTTACATATGCGTGAAATAAAACTTTAGGTTAGACTATTTAAGAATGAGTATGGGAAGATGACGTATAATGTAGGGCATAAACATCTATGGGATGTACACAGAGTGTTCTTATTAAAGTCCCCCCCCCACCACCCTGTGATTCGACTCCCTGGCCACCATTGGGCTCTATCCGGAACTATATTGCGATATCAATTTTTGCAAAACCAGCCCTGAAATTTTTCTCAGGGTGCATTCTATTAACCAAAAATGTACTACGAGGTCATTTTTGGCCTAGTTTTTTAAGATAATGCCTGCAGTTTCGATGAAATAGCGTCTTTAGAGTCTTTTGAAAAAGCTCGCAAATTTGGTTGACCTATTTTGACAATACGCTCTAGTAGGCAGTACTTTGATTATAATGTAGAACATGTATACTATATCAATTCTTACTCAAATTTTTCTTTTTCAGAAATCCCCCCTTTGATACTTTTTCAGAAATCCATTTTTGGCGGACCGACCCTAAAATTTTTCTAAAGGCGCCTCCGGCGCCAATATATACTAACTTTGAGGGGGAGCGCGCGCCAAAAAAAACGCAATTTTTTTGTCAAAATTTTTCAAAAAGTGCCCAAAAACGGCTTTTTTGACTGTTTTTTCAAAAATTTGCCTGCGGCCCAGAAAATTTTGCCAAAATAGGGGCAAAACAGTGCTTTGGGAGAGCTCGAAAAATCAATTTGGTCGACCTAAAAAAAAAAAAAGGTCGCCAAAATTTTTCGAAAATCCGCCCCCCCCCCCTCGAGGAAATCCTAGATCCGCCCCTGAAGAAAGTAACTAATAGATATGCTTGTGGTGATTTTTTATGCACACTAATTTTCGCAATCGAAATAACAAACTTTAGTGATAATTTTTTATACAGCAATGGGTATTTTGTATCCTCGAATTCAACAGGAAAAACAAATCATTTACAAATTTTCTTCCTAAAAATTTAGTGTTTTGAAAATTGCCAATTCCGTTATATTCTAGACTAATTCATACAATTTTTTTTACAGCATAGATCTAAGACGCTGGAAACGTAAGGCGAACTTAGGGAGCGGTGGTGAAGTGGTTACGTCTCCGCCTCTCAATCGAGAGGTCGGATGTTCGAGGCCCACCATGATCCGTGCTGGTTGCTTGAGGGTGAAGCAACATTACCCAGCCCAGAAAAATAACCAAAAAAAATTGCATGTAATTCTTAAACAGGGGCACAACAGCGGTTCGCCGTGATGAGCTGTACAGCTCTTGTGTTGGTCTTTTCCCCCGTGGATAAATGGTCTTAAGTATACGAGTCAATATTTTGCGATCAATTGAAGGGAGACAAGCTAAATAGTAGAATTACTTCCCTATACCAAGCTGAAATTCATTCGTCTGAATGTTTGTTATTGGCAGTCCAAAATTATTTTGTATAAAAAATTTGGTTACCAAAAACGTATATCAGCAGTGGCTTTAATATGATATATCACTCGACCTACTCCGATGAATATTTGTGGTACCTGATTTTACGTGAAAAAACAAAAAACTAAAACACACACGAATACAATGTTCTTTCCCATTTTCGATGGTCCGATAAAAAAATTTCCCAGGAGTCCTTAACAAGCTTCCAAAATAATTTCCCAAAAAAAACTTTCAGGATTTTCAATGTGTTGCATGATTGGAACTGCTTGCAGCGCATCAAAAAAAAATTTGACCGATTTAGAAACTTTTTGCAATTTATACGAAGAAACGCTGGAGCAGCTACAAAACTAGAGAACGTTTCAATCGAACAATGACATGCAAATCTGCAGTTTGATCAATGCAAAAAATTAAATTCCAAAACCTTTCACGATATTTTCCGCAAATGCATTCACAGTGGAGATTGTGGTCCGCCCTAAAAAACATCAGCAAGTCAAGGGTGAGGATGATGAGCAGGTGACGAGACATAATATAACGTATTTAAAATAATGGAAAGCTTGAACGCGAATATTCGGACCCTGATTTAACTCCAAACGATCACGTGATTAAATGAGGCCAATCTGTTGTACAGCGATATGATTATGAGGGTTAAAATCAAGGGCGGATCTAAGATTCGAGGGGGGGTTGCGGCTTTTAGAAAATTTTTAGGTCAACCAAATTGATTTTTCGAGCTCTCCCAAAGCACTTAAAGACCCTGTTTAATCAAAAATTTCTGCGCCGCAGTCAAAATTTGAAAAACAGTTGAAAAAAGGCGTTTTTAGGCACTTTTTGGAAAATTTTGACCAAAAATTTGCGTTTTTTTGGCATGCGCTCCTCCTTCAAAATTAGTATATATTGGCGCCTTTAGAAATTTTTTTATGTCCGTCACCAAATATGTATATCTCAAAATAGTGCAAAGGGGGATCCTTTGGGTCGGCAGGTGGTCGAATCCCTGAAGGAAGGCGTCCATATCCCCCGCCCCCACTTAAATCCGTCCCTGGTTTAAATATTGCATTGCATATGTGAACCAACATAAAAACCCAAACCGATAAAGAAATTAGAAAAAGTTTGAATGCCTAAACTTTTCACACTTTCTTAAAATTATCATAGCTCAAAAAAAATATGCCAAATCCATTTTTCGGTTATTCTTTAAACTGAAATAAGTTGTTGTGTTTAAGATATTTAGCAGGTGTTTCAACAAAAGGATCTGAAGAAATCGTTAATATAGATAAATATTAACATTCAAACTTTTCTTCCAATTTTCATTATATCTTTTGATTGCCCGCGCAGCAAAAAAAATGCTCATATATCAAGTATCAAACACTGACCAGCGAAACAGTTTCCACCAACTGCCTGATTCATAGGGAATGCTAAACATTCGAAAGTAAAAAGGATTGAAGTAAACAACCTTTCGCTTTGAAGATTTCGAGACATTTTACAAGATGCTATCTGCAACCCCATAATAAAAAATAATACCATCATCTGATAAGAATTGCCAACTTCGAAGTCAAAACCTGAAGTGTTGTAATTTTTTCCCTGAAAGTGTGAGAAAATAACTAATTGAGCGACATTACTGATGGATTACATAAATATGATCCTAAGTGCTAATGGATGACATAAATATGAATTGTTTAGTGCAGATGGATTCGATAATTATGACACATCATCTCAATATTTGGGTGTATGACTGACCTTGTTGTAGTTTGTTGAACAACTCAGTGGTGCGTGGTGTGTTGTTGTTCGCCTCCAAATCCGATCTTGTTTTCTTTTTAGTCACCAAAGGCGCCTCTCCCTCGTTCCCTCTCACCTATCACGCAAAAAGATTCAATGACTACTAATAATTACCAACTTTTTATTTTTCCATAGGGCCTCCTCGTTTTGTTTTCCTTACCTCTCGCCAAGCTTTGAATTTGAGAACTTTAAATTTGCTACGAGAGGCCAAAATACTGAAACAGAATGAAGTTTGGAAAATGTTGAGTGGGGTGGATTATCGAAAATTTTTAAAAACTTCGTCGATCTTTTGATAGGTTAGTTGACCTTTCAAAAAATCGACTAAGTTTTTAAAAAAATGAAAACTGAAAAATCCTGGATCTACCTCTGCAACAGAATAGAACTTGAAATTCAGAAGGGCATAGGACGGGGGATGACCGCTCCCATTTATTTCTGTTTGCCATAAAAGACTAAAAGTCCCCTTTTGTGAATTTTTTTTACTACCCTCAACCTACTGATGCTACAAATTTGGCGGATCGACAAAAAAGCTCGTTGCAGATATCCTGCATCTTCATCCAATTCAATTTTAATTGAGTGGCAAGAGCGCATTGCCCAAAAAGTGTGATGGTTGGGTTCCTAAACTATAGATGGGTCTCTGGAAAAAAAAACTTCATCGGGTTAAAAAACTTTTGTTCTTTTTTCATTTTTTTTTTTCAAATAAAAGTAGTTTTTGTGCGTGTTATGGTGGGAAAACTAATTGAACGCGTAGATGATTAAAAATCTGCATAAATGACAGCAGATGTCTTAAAAACAAATAGCAAACAAAAAAATGAAAAAAAATCAATTTGTTCCATTTTTTGCAGAATATATATTTTTAATTTTTTATCGCAAAAGAAGCGCTAAATGAGTTTTCTAAAACAACTTTTCCTGCAGTAAACATAGTTTTTCATTTCATAAAGAAAACATTTTCTTTCATAAGACATGCTCGCACTCTTTCCTTTATCGAAATAAGACTAAAACGCTAAAACTTCAAACGTGTTTTTCTAAACACGGGGAAAATTTTTTGAAAGTTTTTTAAACTTTGTTCGAATCACGACTGAAAGGGCTTTAATATGACATATACTCAATTCATTCCGATGATTGTTTGTGGTACCTGGTTTTGCCTGGTAAAAAAAAGAAAAAAAAATGGTCGGAACAATAAGATCTACAACAATTTTAACAATACTATCACCAAACAAGCTCTGAACTCACCACAGATATTTCAGTCTCGTCTTCGCTCGTGGTGTAGAAGAAGTAGACGGTGTCGGAGGCCTTCATGATGTGGTTGGGGCCAGGATTCAACATCAGCTGCCCGTTCTCTGGCTTCACCCCAATAGTCATGCAGCCGTACCTGAAATGGACACGAAAACTTATGATCATACAAAACTTGATAAGCACTATAATTCAAATTGTGATGGCATTGATATCAAAAACAAAATAAATAATATTATCAGTGCGTGTCCTAGTTAGACGTCGTTACTTGAGGTGAGGACGCGGTGATTTTTCCCTGTGAGAATTTATCAAGAAAAAATATTAACCAAGGCCCTGGTCCTAAGGCCATGATCCTAAGGCCATGATCATACGGCATGATCATACGGCCATGATCATACGGCCTTGATCCATAGTCCATGATCCTAAGGCCATGATCTTCTACGCTCTTGGTAGATAGTCTACAATTTTGTAGAAATTTAAGTTTTAGAACAAAAAAGATCACGTTATCACTATGAGCACATCCAAGGATTAATTATTTCTCTTCGGCAGCGGTTAAAATTGCAAAACTATGAAAGTTATGTAAGTTGGACTAACTTTCTGTGAGCGAGGAATGCAGCCTCCATGAAGTTGTAGCCGATGTACTCCTGGAAGAACTTGCTCTTCCCAACTGGCTTGTCATAGATCTCCTGGGCTGTGCTCCTCGCATACTGCATCTCCCACTGGTCGTTGCTCTCCGAAGGATTCCTATCACACCAAAGGTCACAAGGTCAAAGGTCAAGGTCAGCAATTTATATGTCGGAATGATACTTGCATGGTCATCTTAGAAATAATTGATCAAAATTCCCAACAAAAAAAGCAAATTCATTTTGGTCAGTTGCTGTTATCCCAAGAATCAATCACCATGATTAATGATTAAATATAATCCTGAATTATTACGAATATTTAATACAAAAATTTGATTTTTCATGTGAGAACATCATTCAGTTCAAACAGGCCTTGCGTGCTTCTACTAAACTGCAATCATGCTATAGAAAACTCCTCCAGATTAATGTCTATCCAGAAATCGTTTTGTGCTGTCTGTGAATCACGTGCAAGTCAGCCAAAGAAAAAAATCAGGCTAACAGATTACCAAATCCAAAAAAAAACTCAATATTTTGTTAATTTTGGACATTCACACGAATTTTTTCATATTTCATTCTCACAAACAGTGCTCGATTTTTTTTCAAAAATTCTTGCGAAAAAAAACAAGTTTTTTAGAAGCAAAAATTCATTTTCTTATGATAGGCAACGTGTTAATGTAATGAAAGAAACTGAAAAGCTTTAAAAATTAGAGTTAACTAAGGTGAACTTTTATGGTGTTACTATTTTTTTTTATTGGTTAGTACTAGTCAGATAGAATATCTAATCATTCAATTAGTGTGACTTACTCTTCCAAGGAGCAGTTAACTGTTCCAGTTTTGCTGTCAAAACAAATTTTTCTGATAATTGATAACTAAGGAAATCAAAATACACATAAAATGAATGAAGTGACAAAAAGTATTCTTCAGTACACTGGATAAATATTGTGAACGTGGATAAAAAATGGATAAATATTGTGAATGTTTAAAGGGGGGGGGGGTGCGGCAAATAAGACGACAGCATTTCAGTCAGCAGCCGCCCTTGATTGGACTTAGAGGCGACGCTACACTGAATTCTTCAATTGTATTTCTAAGAAACATGAACCGCTTAGATTGAAACATTTTATTTTAAATGTTTTAGCGCTCAGCTGTCGTCTTAATGCCATGTCGTTTAATGCTCTGTCTTCTCATTTACCTAGCACCGTTAGAAGGGAAGCCCAACTTGAAATAAATTTATGATTTTGAAAGAACATACCGCACTGAGTTTCTGCGATAAAAATCAATTTTGAAGATTTTGTTGTATCGGGGGTGCAGTTGACAAGCATACAAATTTAATAGGGAACGGAACGTCAACGTCCAACTTGCATTGCATGAGTACCGCTTAGCATACGGTTCTTAGTCCAATTAGAATTGAGCTTTTTTTCCTCAAATTTGAAACTAAAACTCAAACTGAGGTGTGCCGCATCAAAATCAGTAATTCTCTTAGTTGCGCAAGCATAGCGGCACTCATGCAATTCGTTACGCCCCCAACTTAAGCGGCATAGAAGTCTAGCATCATAAAACTGTTTATTTATTCTTCTTCTAAAGTATCATAACTCAAATAGCCTAAACAGCAAAATAATGTTCGTCTCAGTCCCGCCAAAATGTTGCTACCTGTCCAACAGAGGATATGACTCTTGACTCTACACGAAACATCGAGTCGGTTATTGCCGTAAAGAGGCGAAAGTACAGCGACAATTGAAAAAGTAGTCATTGACCGTTTACTTTTTCACGCTCAAACTCTCAGCTTTTTTCGTTCCGCATTTCTAAGAAAGTGTGGATTATTTATGCTTGGGGGGTTTTTATTTGGTCAAAACTCGGCGATCGAAAAAGTTTTTAGCATAAAAAAAATTTTGAGCAAATCATTTTTTCTGAAGTTCCGGGGTTTGAATTTAACCAATTTGGCCATACTCGTGACTAATGCACAATGAGAAGGTTTTAATTAAAATTCTAAAAACGTAACGCAAACAATTTCTGCGTGACGAATTATCCCGCACAACAGAATTGTTTCATATTTAATTAGGGCAAGCTTGTTGTTGTTTTGTTCAAAATTTCAATTCTGATGTTTGATATTGTCCAAAATGTATGCGTTTACATATTTTTAAACTAATTAATCGTTTGAAGTTAACAGTCTTGTTTTTTTTCACTGTCCTTTAAACAATAGACTTATTTTTATGCTATTGAGTAGGTACAAAAAGAAAATTGTGTTTAATAAAATATAAACGTAACCGGTGTATCGATTATATCAGTATATGTATTTAACCAAATGACATTTGAAATTTTTTGATTATTTTTGACTAATTTTTTTATTTAAATTTTATTAAAATTTTGCGATTATTTTGGTTTACTTTTGTTCTGATTTTCGAAGATTGCTCGGGGTGTTTTTTATTCAGAGCATTTCGCAAAATTCGTTGCTCACTTACGGGATAGATCCCTTGATCTGTATAGTCCCAGCCGGTTCTGCATACCAGTATAGTATCTTTCCACAATTTACACTGCACCTTTTATACTTTACACGTGGCTATGCATGTAATCCCACACTGCAAAACCTTTCAAATTGAATTGGAGCAAGCTAATCGGTCTCATTGATTTCATACACGACTAAACTTTTAACACTCAAAAGTTGCAATTATGAGCCTAAATTATATGTTTTTGCCAATATTGGATATACCAAAAACTATTCGAGACCAGTTGAAGGGCAGCCGGAATAGTACTACTATGATAGGGTGGTCTTTCGAAAAAATAACTCTGATAAACAGGTCCCGCATGCTTTTCGCAAGTTTATAATTTACTAGTTTGTGTCTAAAATATTCGTTTTCAAATTTTCGCGAAACAGTTTGACTCAGATTAAAATTTTCAGACTAAAAATTGTAATTATTATAATATCAAGAAATAAGCTCACTTTAACTTATTTTACGGTTTATTACCATAACTTAGTTTAAATTTTTGTCATCAAAACTCAATTTAGGCAATTTTTGTTTTAAATTAACACCGTAAAACGGGGAGGGGGAAATTTCACGAAGTATCGAAACAGAAAAATTGTTTGAAAACACGCTTCGACGATTTTTCTGAATAGGGAAATTGTAACTTTATACAATTTGAGAGCTCTAAGTGTCTTTTTCTGGAGACCCGGTTATTCTCATGGGACCACTCTATCATAATAGTACTGCCGGAACATTCTGGGCTTTGTCCTGATACAAGCAGTCTTGTTCAAATACGTATTTTCTGAATTTTTTTTTGAAATTGATTATGTACACAAGCTTCTGCAAAAAGCAATTTGTTCAATTAAAATTCAAGTTGGTTTTCTTACTTTTTGTTTTGATGACTTTTTATAGAAGAAATTAATTTTGTTTTTTACAACATCATTTCAGATCTTCCAAAAAAAATTGTAGAAGATAGTATGATACATTTTTAAAAAATTCTCTCAACCATATTTTTCTCCAAAACTAAATTGCAAAATCAATTTCAGAGTCGATTATACATGGTGCTTTGTTTCTAGGCAAATTTACGCTCGGATAGTGGAACGTGGATCAAGAAATATTTGATTGTAATGAGTTTCAACCAAACTACGTAATATGTAACGCTTTAATGCCAAAGTGATAAACCCCCAAAAAACACATTTTCCCCTGCATTCCTCCTCACATAAAATAAAAAAACATTATCAATTGTTTTTTTTTCAATTAAGCGAATGTTTTTTCTGCTAACTAGCTTACTTGTTTGATCCCTCGACAAAACTAGTTCCTAAGTTTGTTTCCATTATATATTGTCAAATAAGCTGCGCAGCGTTGCAATTAGCACTAACACTTGTGAAGGCCTCGCCCATTTTTGGGAGTAATATCATGCCTAAAAGATTGCTTTCGTTGTTCGACGTAAATTTGTGCCTCAAATGGGATTGAGGGATATAAAATTTGGGTAAATTACCTGAGGAGAGTAATACACCAATTGTTAGTAAGGGTAGTTTTAAGGGTTGAGTCAAAGGAGTTCCATGCAGTTGGGCATCAGTTGAGTAAGTACATGAAAAATAATACAATAGTAAATCAGGGATAAAACTAAGGTAAATATAATATCATAAATAGGGATATTATATTACATGGTACGGGGAATACTAAAAGGCGAACGTTAGAAAAGGGGAACTGTTAATAAGGGGGTTATTCAGAAAAGTTGATATTAATCCCGAGTTTTCGTATAAATTGAAACATTATTTTACCTGAAAGTTTGTCATTTCCTTGTAAGTCATGCTGTTTTTGAAAAGTTGAGAGAAACGAGTCAGTCAGCTTGGCTGTAATGTCAAAAGTCAAGTTGAGAGAAAGGTGACCTTAATTGTTTACAATTAACACCCGCCCACATTTGCAGAGCTTGCAAATAAAGTATTGAATAAAATAGTAAGGATACGGTAAAATACAAAGATAAGGGAACCAGTAGATAAGGGAACCAGAAATTGTTCTTTTTCATCTTCATCTTGGTTTGTCTATCGTTGAGCTGATTGTCTTAGTTGAATTGACGAGTCGTAGATTTGTTCATCTTTGTCGAGTTGATATGTTGAAGGCTGAGTTGCGTGATTATTTGGTTGGTTAGCTATTTGGAGCTTGGTTACTGCGAAACTGGGAAAACGCGGCTCAATTTGACCACAGGTCGAACTTTGAATCCAGTTGGCGTTTTCAGCTTCACTGAGCGGACTATTCCATCTTGTCCAGGAAAGGTTTCCACCACTTTAGCAAGAGGCCACAGTCCACGAGGTGTAAAATCCTCCAACATCCAGACCATGTCGTCGGGTTGCAAATTGGAAGTCGCAGAAGTCCACTTTGATCATTTCTGCTGACCTGGTAAGTACTCTCGAAGAAAGCGATTCCAGAAGTGATCTGCGAGTAGTTGGGATGCTTTCCATGATTTTGACAGAGATAAATCCTTGTCCTTGAAGATACCAGGCGGTAAATTTGGAGTTCCACGACCAAGAAGGAAATGGTTGGGAGTGAGAGGCAGATCATCTTTGATGTCGTCAGACACATTGGTTAAAGGTCGTGAATTCATGGTTGATTCAATTTCGGTCGTGAAAGTAGCCAGTGTTTCATAGGAGAGTGTTCTTGATCCGATGACTTTGTACAGGGAAAGTTTAAATATCTGAACTAGTCGTTTCCAAGAACCACCAAAATGAGGGGCCGCAGAAGGGTTGAATTTCCATTCGAGTGATACGTCCAGCTGATTGATGCTTTCCACAAATTCTTTGTTCTTTTCCAAGTTGTCTAGACATTTCTTCAGCTCAGAATTGGAGCCCACAAAACTTGTCCCACAATCAGAAACCATTTTCGATGGTTTTCCTCGCCGGGCAAAAAAGCGTCTGATACAAAGAAGAGTGCTGTCTGTCGATAGTCCTAATGAGATTTCAAGATGCACAGCTCTGATCACTAAGCATGTGAACAGTAAAATATACGCTTGGTATTGTTTTCCTTGAAGGATGATGGGAAAAGGTCCAACGTAGTCCAATCCAGTCGTTGCAAAAGGAAAATGATTTTTTGATGGCAGTCGATCAATTGGAAGATCTGACATCTGAGGGTAGTCGACTTGTTGTTGCATTCTTCTGCAGGGTATACAACTGTGTATGATACTTTTCAGCATGACGCGGCAGCGAAGAATCCAGTAGTTTTCCTGTGCTATGGCAATTGCTTGTTCCTTTCCGCAGTGGGAATGTAGAACATGGATGTTAGCTAACAGCAGGCGAACATTGGGGTTTTCACCAGCGAGAATGATTGGATATCTAGCTGATAGCATGATAGGGGCACGCGTGAGACGTCCACGAGAACGCAGGATACCGAAGTTGTCCACAAACGGTGCTAATGTTCGAAGTCTACTTTTGCCTTCAATTGGTTTTTCTTTTTTGATGTCTGAAATTTCAGAGACAAAATCTGTCCTTTGGGCAGTTTTAATTATGAGAAAGTGCGATTTCGTTAGATGCAAGAGTTGAAGATCGACCTTCGACTGTTTGTTGATCTTCCGTTTGAGATTTTCTGCGAATAAGAAGCAGTATGCAACTGTCCGTATTAGTCTTTTCCAGTTGCTGAAGCGTTTGATGTCAAATATAGGCTCAAATTTAGACTCTAATGAAGTAACGAATACAGGAATGTTCTCAAGCCGAATGTTTTCCTGTGAAGGCCATTGAGAAGAATCGTTCAACAGAAATTCCGGTCCTAGTAGCCACCGACAGCTTGAGGTCATTTCTAAAGCAATGTATCCTCTGGTACCGTCGTCAGCAGGATTTAGCAGAGTTGGAACGTGAAACCACTGTTCAGGTTTAGAAACGTCTAAAATTTTCTGAAGCCGATTAGCGACGAAAATTTTGTGTCGTATTTCAGGTGTTCGCAGCCAATACAAAACAGTAGTACTGTCAGACCAGAAATAAGTTTTTTCAACTTTGAGGTCAATTTCCTCTGAAACAAAGAGCGATAGTTGGGCAGCATATACTGCAGCTTGCAACTCGAGATTGGGAATTGTAACACGTTTCATAGGAGCGACTCTTGTCTTTCCTATTATAAACTTCAAAGATGTGGAGCCGTCGCTGTAGACTATTCTTAGGTAGCAAACAGCAGCGAGAGCGAATTCTGATGCATCACAAAACGTGTGAAGCTGGATTGAAGCAGGGTTTTCTTTATCAAAGAAGTTCCTTTGGAATGAAACAGTTTCGAAATTTTCCATTTCGTCTACCCAAAGTTTGAAATCGGGAAGTTTATCCGTGTCTAATGGAGTATCCCACTTAACACCTTGTGACCAAACAGATTGGAGAACTTTTCGAATCCGAATTGTCAATGGAGCCACTATTCCGAGTGGGTCAAATAAAGAAGCGGTATACTTCAGGAGTTTCCGTTGCGTAGCAATGCCAATACGTAGAATTTTTACAAACTTTTTGTTATCGATGAAGTAGCAGTCAGTGTTGGTATTCCAGTGAACACCGAGAACTCGTTGATGTTTAGGCGTTGGATCATTAGGGCTGACTAAAATATTTGGATCAATTGAATCCAGGAATGGTTTACTGTTTGAGTTCCACTTATTCAAGTTGAATCCACCTCGAGATAAAGATCCTCGTAGTTGTGTCATTTGTTGGAGGGCTTCTTCTACCGTTGACGAAGTGACATACAAATCATCCATGTAGATATTCCGTTGAATGATTTCAGAAGCCAGAGGAAAGTCGTTTTTACTGTCTGATGCACATCGTCGTACTGCGTAGCAAGCCACGCATGGTGAGTCTGTGGCACCGAAAATGTGTCGTGTATATTCGTGAGTTTCTAATTTACCATTTTCTTTCCAAAGGTATCTTAGAAAAGGTCTATCCTTTGGGCTGACTAGCACTTGCATAAACATAGCATCTATGTCAGCAGATATTGCTATTTTATTTTGTCGAAGGCGAATTATGAGACCTGTTAAGTTGCACAAAAGATCGGGCCCTTTGAGCAAACTCGAGTTGAGGGATTTACCCTGAAAAATGCTGGAAGCATTTGAGACTCGTCTAACTTTGTCTGGTTTGTTGACATTTGTCACTGGATGATGCGGCAAATACCAAGATTTGATTGCAGTGTCATGTTTTCCATCTATTTTGGTGACAAAGCCTTTTTCTAAGTCAGTGATGACTGTTGCGCGGTATTTCTCCCTTAAATCAGGTTTACTTTTAAGGCGAAATTCGAGGCTGTTGAGTTGCTTTTCAGCTAGCCAACGGTTATTTGGAAGATCAGTATCCTCTTTCCAAAGAAGGTCAATTTGATAGTGACCATCTACTAAAGTACAAGAGTTTTCGAGAAAATCGATTGCTCTTTTATCCGATTTGGAGTGCGAGCGTTTTGAAGAAGCGATGCCTGTGTTTTCTATTTTCATCCAGTTGAGAACTTTCTGGTATAATTTTTCATCTAAGTTATTGTGTGAATGAACTTGTGTGAAGTTCACCGGAACAGATGGAACGGAATTATATTGCGTTTTGTTCCGACCTGTGCATGTCCATCCCAAAAGGGTTTCGATAGCCCAGGGAACATTCTTGGGGCCATAAACGGTATTTTTGATCTCATGATATTCTGGATTGTTGTTTCCGATGACTAGCGATATGCTATTGTCGTTTAAGTCCGGGTATTTAACATGCTTTAAATGTGGAAAATTGTTGCACATTGCGTTTAGTTGAAAAATATCAACTGGGGCCAAATTATTTTCATCTACCGTGAGTACGTCATCGAGCGTCATTGGAGTCGATGTGCTTTTGTATGGTCTAATTTGTACATCCACAGATGTAACTTGAACTGACTTGGTCTCATGATATCCAGATATGGGAAGTGAGTGCTTCTTGTTGACGTCCAAGCCTAGTTGAGTTGCCACTGGGTCCAGTAGTAGAGTTACGCAGCTACCACTATCTAAGAAAGCTAAGAAAGCTAAGAAAGCTAAGAAAGCTAAGAAAGCTAAGAATCTAAGAAAGTATCTAAGAAAGTATCTAAGAAAGCTAAGAATAAAAAACACAGTGTAACGAGCTAATCAAAACTTTTTCGGGGCGCCAATTTTATATTGGCGCCCCGAAAAAGTTTTGATTAGCTCGTTACACTGTGTTTTTTATTCCCCCACAACCAAAAATTTATGGTTAGTTACTGTTTTTCCTCCCCAGTTTTTACGTCTGCGGTTTATTATATCTTGTTATAGTACTTCCCCATTACAATATTATTTCATTTATTTACAGTTAATCGCAGTTTATTTGATTTACATTTTAAAAAAAAAAAAAGATCAATTATTGCTCTTGATTTCTAACCCATGTAAACTTTAAACGTTTCAATTGTTCATAGCTTCATTTACTTTGAATAATGTATTAAGTTATTTTCATCAATTTTCCCCTTTCAATTCGTTTTTTGTTGCTTTGCTATTCCGAGTCTTTTGTGACTCATTTATGAAAAAACTTCAGTTTTCCCGACTCATTTTCATTCCGTTCAGAGTCTTTATTGCCTTTTGCGTTCCTTTCCGAGTCTTTTCTGACTCAATGTTTCATTCCTTTCCGAGTCTTTCTCGACCCATTTGTTGTTCGTTTCCGAGTCTTTCCCTACTCATTCATTCATTCCTTCCGAGTCTTATCTGACGCCTTGTATATTCCTTCCGAGCCTTTCTTGGCCCTTTGCTTCCTTCATTGCTTCCTTCCTTCAAGTGTTTTCTGACACTTTTGCTTTCTTATTGCCCGACTCCTTTGACTCAACCCTTAAAACTACCCTTACTAACAATTGGTGTATTACTCTCCTCAGGTAATTTACCCAAATTTTATAAGGGATTTTTTGGAGCATCTGGACTTACTTATATTTTAATTAGGAATTTCAAAAAGTTCTATGGAAAAAAAAAGTAAATATAGTACCATAAATTTTGTGACCAAAGCATTTTGTGCTGCTACTATGCCAACCGGCTTCTCTTCCCAAAAAATGATCCAGTTCATCAATCTTCGCTCTAAATTAGACTAAATACCATAAACTTCAACCCTTTTCTTAGACCTCAAAAAAAAATTCTCTTTAAGTTTCATTGTAGCACAAATTATGACTGAAAAAGCATTTTTCTGTTATTTTAATCGACCGTAATTTGATGCTTTTTGCAGTATCTGGACTGTTAGGGAAAAAGTTTACACATGATTGAAAATCGGATTCTTGAAAAAATTATGAAATATGGTTATTGCAATTTTTAAACTACCTTCGTTACCTTTCAAAACTTAATGAAATATATGTGGATCAATTTTCTGATGACTTCTGCGTCTCACTTGGCTGTTTTCTAGGGGCCTATTTCTATTTCAGGTTCTCAGTTATCATACTTGTACTATTGTAGCAACAGATGACATATAAAATATTAAAAAATGCATGTCATAAACACTTATACGTTTTAAAAGACCAATCATGAGCATATTAAATAGTAAAATATTTACCAAGGGGGATCATACTGTATGTTTGACATGTATTCTGGAAATATAGATACAAGTTGCAAACACTAAACCCGGGTCAAAATTTTTAAATAAAACTTTCGATGAAAAGGGGCTGAATGAATCTAATTTTTAGTACGATTGGTCCTCTATTTATTACGAAAAAATAAACCCATTAGCGCCCAATTGATAGCACACAATCGTACGCTCATTCATACCCTCATTCATGAAAATTGGGCTCATTCATACCCTCATTCATGAAAATTGGGCTCATTCATACCCTCATTCATGAAAATTGGGCTCATTCATACCCTCATTCATGAAAATTGGGCTCATTCATACCCTTCAATGGCAAATAAAGGACCGAAAATTGGGCTCATTCAGATCGTTTTTCTAAACATTGGACTCCTTCAGCCCTCTCCATGAAAATATGACCAAAATATGGACCACTTCCGACCGGGCAAGTGGTTTGACCCCATGACCTACAACATCGGATTTGGCCGACCAACTTAAAATTTTACCAATGCCTTCTTATGGGCCAACTCTCATCAAATTTGAAGGGAGGGAGAGCACGCGCCAAAAATGGTCCAAAATGCCATTTATGGAAGTTTTTTAAAAGTCAGCATTCGGCCATTTTTGGGTATTTACCTGCCCTGCAGAGTGTGAACAAGTAGACTGATGTAAGTGGACATGGCGGGACAGAGACAGTTGCTGGCCAGAATTGCATACTTGAGCTCATCTTCGCAGATGACGTAATTGGCCGCCATCACCAGCTGTTTGTGTTCTGGTTGCAACACTTGCACGTACAGGGGCACATGGGAGGCGAAGTCCTTTATGGCCCACGTGCGGAGAATTGTGGCCTCGTCCTACAATCAGTAGCCCGTGTTTTGAGAGGAGGAGGAAATTAGCGGAAAATAAAGTTTAAGCAACAAGACAAACAACTCAACAAAAAAGTTCAGCAGTTTTTTTCAAGTCAAGCCCGTCAAAAAAGGTACTGCATACGCTTTGTCTTTTACATAATGAATTACTGTCTATAGCCATGAATTCGAAAAAATTTAGATGAAATTCGACATATTCAAACCAATCGAATCAGAGTTTGATAGTTTGCAAAAATCACCCAGTTCTACGATTCTGCAGTTTTGATTGATTGCCACATTCATTAGAGCTTACTAGATGTACTAATTCTGCAAAGCTTGAAGCTCATTTTTTTGGCGTGACTGATCCATTTACGAGGAAAATTTCGCGCGTTCTGTGACCAAATTTACAAATCAATCTTTAAACAAAGGTTTTAACAAATCTTTTGCTAGCATAGAATTTTTTAGTTAGTTCATTATTTTGTCAATTTATTTTGTTAATTCAAATTTTCGAGCTACAAACTCGAATGGAAGCGCCACCAAATTTACAAATCAATGTTTGAACAATTTTTAAATGTTGCTAGCCATAGACTTTTTTAGTTAATAAATTTTTTTTGTCAATTTGGACGATTAACCAATCTTAAAAACTTTTTGCTGGCTTAAGCAGGATAGAACGCCTTTTTTTTCAAAGTTTGAAGAGCTGACAAATTAACGTTAACCGACCTCTCTTCGCCTATCCTTCACATTGCGAGATGAGAATATGAAACAGCTTTCGGCGTAGTGCACCTTCGCCCGAATGAGATCGGATACTCTGAGAGCACTGCCCTGGATGTAGATCACCCTCTGGCTCCAGCTGGGGTTCTCCAGCATCGCGTTGATCTTACCATCGAACTCCAGGGGACACAGCAGTATGACGTAATAGTTCTATAACAGTTACAGCTACTGTTACGTAACAGCTCGGACTGCAGATACACGGAATATAAACACACAAATTACGATTTATTATTGGTCGACCATTCAAAAAAATTGTCTAAAGGCCTCTTTGCCGTCAATATACACTATCTAATTTTGAGAAGTGCGCGCCGAAAAAAAAACGAGAGGGAAGCGAGCGTAAAAAATTTTGAGAAAAAAGCGAGCGCCAAAAATTTTGAGGAAACGCGCGCCGAAAACTTTGGGTCATTTTAGTGTGTTTTAGGAGAGCTCGAAACTCATTTAGCTGGTTTAATAAGAAACAAAAAGACGAAATTTTCAAATTCAGCATTTTCGAATTAATTAATTTCTAAGCAACTGTCATGGATCTTGACATATATTCTCCCATCCTATTGGAGAAGGGGAGAGGGGATAGCTTTGGTAAAAGACACAAAATTCGTGTATTTTAAACCGCGGAATTAGATCCTTGTGGGGGTGGAAACTGTTCACTTGGAACCATAGGGCTAAATAGTTTAGCTAACAAAATCCACTGTCCTAACTGAAATAAAGAACAGTTTATGAAAACAACAGCTGAGAGATGACCTTGAGTTTTGGGTATGCGTAGAACTCGTTCATGAAGTCGTGCAGGATGTCCTCTGTGACAAAGGAGGTGCACAACACCACGTGCTGCTCCTTCTCAGCCCTCCTGTGGCTGTAGTTGCCCCCCAACTTCTGCTTCTCATCCCACGCGAACGACAGTGACTCCAGCTAAGCAAACGAAAGCAGGGCTCTCTTAATGGTTATACAAACACTTCAAGTTTCAGGCAAAGAAATAACATTTTTTTTATGTCTGCTAGAAGAATGGTGCAAGTTATACCTGTACAGGAATGAAGATGAGCGCGAGTCCAATGGTGAATATGACGAACAGTTTCGAGATCCATCCAATGGGGTACAAGTCCCCGTAGCCGACTGTGGAGAATGTGACGATGACGAACCAGAAGGAGTTGAAGAAGTCGTACTGTTCATCGCCACTCCTGTCTTGAATTCGCTCCAGATAGTGGATGCCACACATGCTAAAAATTGTGTGTAAATTCTGGGGTCTAGAGTTCGATCCCCGCAGTCTCCAAAAAAATTGAAAGCTCAAATTGTATTTTTTTTGAAACTCCTAGTGAAGAAAAGTATAATTTGTCTCACCATGTGAATGCGAGACAACAAATGAATGTGATCAACTTCATCAGCAGTCGCTGCATGGACGAAAACGCAATGGGTTCCATGTACTAAAACAGGAAAGCACAGGTCAGCAACTGTTTCAAACAAGCATATTCACACATTGGAAAAAGCCTATTGATACTTAAGCTTTGGACAAATAAAAAAAATCGATAAGTGTTTGGTTGGTTTGTCGAAAATCCGCTCCTTCTCTTGCTAAAATTCTAAATGAAACCCTGATTTGAATGATTTTAGATATTAACATTGAATTTTTGCCCGTCTTGGGAAAAAATTCAGTCACTTCTGCGAAGAAAAAATGTTTAATGATGACTTTTCTGATTTCCTCAAGAATGAAGGAAAAAGTGCATCCAAATAAGGAGTTCGGATACATGTAGTGCTGACGGTATGGCCAGTAAGTAGACAACCGAGTAAGCAGACAGGTCAGTAAGCAGACATACCAGTATGCTCATGAGGAAGTGTTTGGCCAGCCAGCAGTTGAGGAAGGAGGGCACATAGAGAAAGCGGAACAGAGGGTGGCACAGCTGGAAACAAAAACATGATTCAATAAAAACCATGTTTACTTCATCAAAACTGATTGAAAAACATAAGACTTCCAAAATAGGGGATCCACGTGTTGAATGATACAATAAAAAAACAATTCCAAAAAAATAAACGCTTGAAATAAAAAGTGAAAAACATCAATCGCTTAAATATAAAGCTTTTCAATTTCACTTTCGAAGTCAAAAATATGAGGTTTTTTAAGATATCAAGAAAATAATACGCATGAGGTTTTTTTACTTACCGAGGCTAGGAATGGCAGTGATACGCATGTCTCAACAAACACTCTGTAGGACAAGATTTGCTCCACAATGTTTCCCTGCAACAATGAATACCTTGAACAATATCGCATGGATCAGGGCGAAGCCCCCCGAGTGTCTCGCTTGCCCCTTAACTAAAGGATGTTCTTTTTGGAACAAAATTTCTTTTATTTTCATCTTTTTTATATTTTCACCGAAATTCAATTTAGAGTACAAACTGATATATTTTGGGCCTAATAAAGTAAAAATATGATCAAATAGTTGGCCTCAATCCCACTTGGGATGACTTCGCAACCAGAAGGTTTCAACGCAGATTTGTGAATCTTTCCTACAAGTTCCCTGAATTTATTTCAAAATCTCACAAAACTGCTCAAATCATGACAAACCCTGAGCGATCCGAGTGCACAAATAACGCCTAGGAAAAAATGATTATTTAAAAATAAATTTAACGCGAAACAAAACAAAACTTTTTTTTCAGATTTTTTTGAAAATTATCCATCTAAACACGAAATCTAAAAATCAAAATGATAGACTTTGCTGATAATAACGTAACAATTGGCGCAAATAGCCTGCTATTCAATTTGGAACAAATTTTGAGCCAGGTTGTTTTGCTGCTTAGAACGAAACATATCGCCCGTTATTTGTCTCAAATTGGTCAAATTGGCTAATTCAAACCCCAATAGCTTCACAAAAAAAATTAAAAAATTTCAAGTTGTTTTAAGAAACAATAATAGCAGGTTACTCTGCAGTAAAAAAATTTCACAAAAATGGCTAGTTAGAACAAAACCACCACAAACACAAATAGTCAGTGAACTCCTTTGAAAGTCTCGAAACAAAAAGAACAGGTTGCTGCACTTTGACAATTGAAAGTCAAAACATTTCAATAAAAATATAATATTCGAACTGTTTTCGAAATGTTTTTTTTTGTTTTGATTTTTTTTCAAGTTTTCGTGATAAAGGGCGGTTGATGAATAAAACCACTGAAAAACAAGAAAAGCCAGTTAATGTGCCAGTAGCACAGAATGTTCCGACCAGTCATAAAAAATTACAAAATTATTTTTTTTTTCAAATGAGTGTAATTTTTTTTGGCGTGGTGTGAAAAAAGAATCTGAGAAAAAAAAGCTTAGGCATTTTCATCAGTCATTGTAAAAAAAGCAAATTGGAAAATAATTTTTGCAGACAAATAACAAGAAAAACAAAAATGAAAAAATATATATTTTTTTGATTTTTCAAAATTTTTTTCCCATTTCTTTGAAGTTCTTGATTTCTAAGATGAGGCTAAAAAATTCAAAAAATATCTTTTTAAATATCAATTGAATAAAAATAAAATCTCAAGGGTCAAAGTAGGCATAAATAAGCTAACGTAAGCCTGCTCACTCGCTCGAAGCAATTTCGAAAAATCAAAAATTTCAAAACAGTTTTTCTCGACAAGTAAAACTTTTTTGAAATTTTTATATATCGTTCGAACCACGATTGAAAGTTCTGCAAAAAAGATAAATAACTCAACAGAGTCCGATGATTATTTGTGGTAGCTGATATTGCGTGGAAAACAAACAAAAAACTAAAACATACCCGAATATCAAGTTCCTACCCATTTTCAATGTAAAACTTTTTTGAAATTTTTATATATCGTTCGAACCACGACTGAAAGTTCTGCAAAAAAGATAAATAACTCAACAGAGTCCGATGATTATTTGTGGTAGCTGATATTGCGTGGAAAACAAACAAAAAACTAAAACATACCCGAATATCAAGTTCCTACCCATTTTCAATGGTCGGAACAATAAACCATGACAGCAACATTTTGTAAATAAAATTTGATATCAAATTATGACTGCATTGGCTTCCTCATCTTTTGGAAGGTTTTCGTTTCCCTTTAACTTGCTGTTCTGTTCAGAAAAATTATTCAAAAAGTTTAGTTCTTCAATAATTTTTCAATTTTTTTTTCGAAAATGACAAAAACTTTTGATATCTGTTTTGAGAAACTACCTTAAGACTGCCAAGGCTTCAGAATTACACTACACTTCATTTTTTTCAGTACTTTTTCAGGCAAATTTTTTCAATAAACCCAGTATTTTTCGAACCAAGAAAAATCTTAGTGATTTCATACTGCCTTAAATTATACCTACTCTCGTATTTTTTGTATCCAGACTGTTGTTTGTCAATTAAACAAAACCAGTACCCTGCCAAAATAATTCCGAGCTATGGCGCTTATACAGAAAAAAGATAGAAAACTTAAGACGAGTGTATCAATAGTGTTTTAAAGCGCGTCCCGACAAATCGGCAAAAAACAGTTCAGCCGATTTGAAATTCAGACAATCCAGCCAAAAGTATGCAGACAATTCAGCCAGGAACAATTCAGCCAATAAAAAAAAAACCAACGCAGTCACGCCAACGTGGTGTGAAAAAAAAATCTGAGAAAAAAAAGCTTAGGCATTTTCATCAGTCATTGTAAAAAAAGCAAATTGGAAAATAATTTTTGCAGACAAATAACAAGAAAAACAAAAATGAAAAAATATATATTTTTTTGATTTTTCAAACTTTTTTTCCCATTTCTTTGAAGTTCTTGATTTCTAAGATGAGGCTAAAAAATTCAAAAAATATCTTTTTAAATATCAATTGAATAAAAATAAAATCTCAAGGATCAAAGTAGGCATAAATAAGCTAACGTAAGCCTGCTCACTCGCTCGAAGCAATTTCGAAAAATCAAAAATTTCAAAACAGTTTTTCTCGACAAGTAAAACTTTTTTGAAATTTTTATATATCGTTCAAACCACGACTGAAAGTGCTGCAAAAAGATAAATAACTCAACAGAGTCCTATGATTATTTGTGGTAGCTGATATTGCGTGGAAAACAAACAAAAAACTAAAACATACCCGAATATCAAGTTCCTACCCATTTTCAATGGTCGGAACAATAAACCATGACAGCAACATTTTGTAAATAAAATTTGATATCAAATTATGACTGCATTGGCTTCCTCATCTTTTGGAAGGTTTTCGTTTCCCTTTAACTTGCTGTTCTGTTCAGCAAAAATATTCAAAATGTTTAGTTCTTCAATAATTTTTCAATTTTTTTTTCGAAAATGACAAAAAGTTTTGATATCTGTTTTGAGAATCTACCTTAAGGTTGCCAAGGCTTCAGAATTACACTACACTTAATTTTTTTCAGTACTTTTTCAGGCAAATTTTTTCAATAAACCCAGTATTTTTTGAACCAAGAAAAATCTTAGTGATTTCATACTGCCTTAAATTATACCTACTCTCGTATTTTTTGTATCCAGACTGTTGTTTATCAATTAAACAAAACCAGTACCCTGCCAAAATAATTCCGAGCTATGGCGCTTATACAGAAAAAAGCTAGAAAACTTAAGACGATTGTATCAATAGTGTTTTAAAGCGCGTCCCGACAAATCGGCAAAAAACAGTTCAGCCGATTTGAAATTCAGACAATCCAGCCAACAGTATGCAGACAATTCAGCCAGGAACAATTCGGCCAATAATAAAACCAACGCAGTCACGCCAACGTGTTGCATGCAAACAGAGGGTATGACTCTATACGGAATTAAGAGCCGGTTATCTTAAACCGAGAAGTAACTCTAAATCCGATTTTTTCTTTTGAATCAACCGTTTTGTAAAACGGGCTAAATTGTCTCAGCTGAATTGTCTGTAAACTTTTGGCTGAATTGTCTGATTTTCAAATCGACTGAATTGCCTGTGCGCCGTTTTAAAAGACTCCATAAATGGAATTTTGCAATTAGTTTTATGAAGTCAACCTGTCAATCAGTTAGAATGAAATTTTTGTACTTTTGGTCTGCCATTTTTTTTAAAAAAATTTTCTAATTCAGTATGAAAAAAAAGAGATTATATTGGTTTTCGGCTAGTTCACAAAACTTTTTTCCGTTGTTTCTGCCATTCGGCACTTCTGTAAATTTTAATTTTCAGTTTGAGAAAACCAATTTATTCACAAACACTTCACATACTTAGCAACATACATTTGTAGTCAATAATTTCATATATATATATATATATATATATATATATATATATATATATATATATATATATATATTTAAGTGTGTGTGTGTGTGTGTGTGTGTGTGTGTGTGTGTGTGTGTGTGTGTGTGTGTGTGTGTGGCTGTTAACGAATATTTCGTATAAAATCTTTTTTATCTATAAAATTTCAAATTTAAAAAAAGACATAAATTTTCCTGGTGTTTTCAATGGCTTAAAGTTTAGAGAAGGGGTGGAGGTGATTTGTTACAAGGTACAAAATTCGTTTATGCTTAGCTGTTCAATTCTTTCTTAATAGGGGGACCGGAAAGAGTTTGAAGGAAGTACCATAGGGGGTGGGGATAGTTAAGAGCTAACAAGATCTCTATTAGGTATTAGGTTTGATTGATGACTGACTAACTCTGAACTGGCATATGATGAGCACGATTGTGTCGATGGTGGAGAAGAGAGCGACTGCCACTTCTATGATGTAGAACAACAGAGACCGCTCCACCCACAGCAATGCACCACTAAGTAGCAAACATGTACATGAATTAAGTTAAACAGATCTTGCTCAATTAAAGTACCTCAAGTTGTGACAAAAATTCGAAAAAGTGTCGAGCTCTTAGACATTCAATGCCCCCTTTTGATTGCTCTTTTTTTCGCTCCATTTTGTCCTTTGAGAAAATTTGTTACGCATTACTTAGGCAGTCAGCCTATTCGAAACAAAAAGAGGTATCAATTTGAGATTGACTCACTAAATTGGATATGTAGCGTTTCCAGGAACATCGTTGTCCGTGCATTCGAAGCTGAAGCATAAGTACCATACATCACTTGTAGGTAATTTACAACTATATAGGTATTCGGATAATATATCAAACTTCTTTTTTTAACAGATTTTTTCTTAGCAATTAACTATTCGCTTCCCCCAACTGCAAAAAGGGGGAGGGTGAAATTGGTTACTAGGTGTTCAAAAGTAGCATATGCTTAAATATTGATTCAGTTCATTATAGGGGTGGTCTTTTTTTGCTAGATACCATAGGGGTATAGCTGTATAAAATTCAGGTAAATTGCTGATAGTTTTTTCCTACGTCAAAGTGTCCTTTCAAAAATTGTTGCTTTCATTTTGGTTCTGATTTTCTGATTTCCATTTCATTCAATACGCTTTCTCCAAAACCGCAGCTCGGCTTGATCCGTCCTCGTTGTTTGGAGATAATCAGAACGAGAAATTTTTCCACCAAAAAAGCAGAAGAAAAATAGAATCGCATTAATAATCAAGGTATCAACAGAAATCCTCCGGAAAAAAAAAACAGAGCAGGCCGTGTTGCTTCTCTTCGTTTTCAACTCTTTTCATACAAGACACTTGAAATTCAGTTTAAAAGTTTAGACTTTTAAATCATACTTATATCTTACTCTCAGACGTTTAGTCATAAAAGCATGCAAAACTACTATTGAAAAGGATAATTTACAAAAATAAACTAAACTGGTTCTTTGAACTGGTAAAAAGTAGCTTGAAAAACTTGCACCATAATATTTGATGTTTGATCTTTGACCTCTACTGACCAGTGAGTGATGGGCTGTTCGTATTCGACAAAGTTGGCGACATATACCACACAGCTGACCAGTTTCAACAGCAGCAGCAGACACCGAATGATAAAAGCTAAACAACACCACACTCATTTAATGCACGTAAAAAAGAGACCAATTTGAGCCCAAAATTTTAACTTGTGTGTTCATTTTAATTCTGTGTTCATATTTCGAGACATTGAAATTTATTGAAATAAGTAATTACTTATGATAATTGGGTTTCAAAAATAAAGAACAAGAAGTTTTTTTTGGCAGTGAGATGTTTTCACCTTTGCGATAAGCAGGGGTAATGCAACCGGGTACTAAATTTTTCCCCACAAATAACTTTGTTTTCTGAATGGATGAAATGGTATTTCTATTATATAGTATTTCGCCATATTTTCAGCAATTCAGTAGCTTTTGAATTGCCTGCATATAAAACTAGGCTGCACGCTAAGTGTTGCAAAGTTTTTTGTGTTCGTGTCAAAAATGTTTGGCATATTTTCCATTTTAGGGGTTTGAGGAAACTTTTGTCCCTGTGAGTTGGGAAAATCGTTTTTAACTCTATCGGTGTTTTGTTCTTAATGTGTCAATACATACATAGATACGGTGATCCAGATTTTTCCAAAATTTCTTGTCAGAATTCAACCATTCGCATCTGATACAAACAAATTTAAGATGTAAATCACTATCCTAACATCTCTATAATAAAATTTTAAAAGTTAAACAAGAAAAATTATAACATTTTCTTGAAAAAATCTTTTTTTTCTTAGTTTGCTGAAAAAATTTGGTGGAAACTTTTTTTTATATTATGTGTATGGTGGTATTTATTATGCTTGCTATTTACAAGCATTAATAAATCAGAAAAAAGCTTTTTGGGTTAACAACCTAAGTAACAAAATCACTGACACATTTTTTCGATTTACTTTAATTGTATATCAAGTTTGAGTAACTTGCAAGTAACTTCTGAGCTTGAGACGACAAAAGTTATGGGTTCTTAACTTGTCAGAATTTTTTCTGGGATAAGATTTATTATCAAACTTTTGTTTGTCTGTTTACTTTTTGTCGGCTTCCTGATCATGCTATCATACTATTTTCATTAACTTTAATCAAGTTTTGCTGAAATTGAAACTCTTTTTGATTCCTTTCTGTAACTTTTGGAGCGCGATAAACTTTTATGCATGATAATTTAACGCTGTTGATGTGTTTGTCGGAATGTATTTGTCAAGTTGAAAACTTTCGAGACAAGCGTATGAACCTTTTTAAATGTAATTTCTTCTAATGTAGATTTTTGCGACAGAGGGGTCGTCGCCCCATTCTACTTTTGAGTTGCAAGTGGGGCGAAGCTCTGCATCACTATTTTAAAATCGTTTTTTTTTTCGTTTAATTGCATTCGAGCATTTTTTGGACTGCGGCGATTACTGCCGGTGTAAGGAAGAGATGCCTTCCTCCTTATGAGTTCAAACCCTCGCGATCCCCTCTCGTTCCGTTGAAGCAGAAGCGGAACCGGGCTCGGGTTTTTTTTTACATGCCTGACTTTCACAAGAGTTCACACCTTTCACACTTCACTTTCTGAGTCAAAATTCCGCCAAATTGAACTGCTAGGACCGGCTGCGGTCAACAGATTTATTAAATTTTGATTTTTTCTGACATTCACATTTGATGTTCACTTTTCTTATTGTTCGTAATTACGTGTTTTTATTAAAAACCTTCCCGGGTTTGAAATCTTTGCTTTCCAAACGGGCCGTTCCGGACGCAAGCTTGAAGCAACCTGGCCGAGCTCGGGCCTCAAACTCAGGCCCGGTTCCAAATCTGGCTTAAATTGTTTGAGTTTGGTTGAAATTGACACTGACCAGTTCTGAAGTTGTTGTTCCAGATGAAGTCCAGCTTCTCCTTGTTGGACACATGTGTGTAGAACTGGATGCGGACCCTATGCAACATGACACGCAAACTCACCACACTGTCAAACCTCTCAAAGCCACTACTATTGCTCATCCCAATTTATAATTAGCCGACGCTTCAAAAAGTCCTCTTTATTGAAACGATTAATGGCTCCGATGGCCGATGATTTAATGAGTCGAAACGAATAAGTGAATGAAGAAAAACGCCGATACTATTATCAATCCACTTCACGATAGTTCAAAGGGGTGGTTATATTAAATAGGTAAAATAAAAATACAAGGTAAAAAATCATAACATCACAAAAATTTTTAAACGTTACTTTCTAAAAACAGCTATTTTTAGACAAGTTATCTTTATTTTTACGGCAATGTCCGGCTAATTTATCTTTTGGGGGTTTTACAGAGAGATTTGTGTAAAATTGCGTTATAGACAGAACTTCAGTTTCAACTGTCTAGGAAACCAAAGTTTGACGGAAATGGAGCTTTAAGGAATTTGAGTAGCAAATATGTAAATCCTCAAAAAGTACACAAGGTTTTTATCGCGGATTACAGTTTTCGATAAAACTACACTAAAATAGCTCTTGCTCTTTACTTCCAGGGATTTGGCAATTGAAACTATTGAAGGGTTTACTATTTATTACCTTGCAAAGTAAAACATAATCTTGTGGAGCTCAAAAGTTAAGAGAAAAAGCAATGGAATATAGTGATAGTCACAAACATTATGCAGTATTACACAAGTGTGACATGTTTAAAATGTATCAAATTGGGAAAATATGCGACAGAGCAAATAATCAATCCATAAATTATTGTCCAAGCGAGGGACACTTTTCCTATATTTCTGCCAGAGCAGTCCGTTATTGAAATAAAAAAATCTCGTGTATATAATAAGCAACGTTTTTTTCAAACAAATATGGTGATTGGTACCTTTGGCAATTTGATAAATTGTATTTATAGAGAACAAAATAGCTTATCTCTGGTTTTACTATTGTACTTTTCTGCCATGTACTTTTTGAGTAGATCGCTTTTCTGATGCTTTTTGAAGCATAGTTGAAGAAACAGTTTTGAATAGTTTGATCATTTAATTTCTAATCTGACGATAAGTATTTAATTATTTTTGTAAGAGGTTTAGATTTAAAAACACCAAAAATTGTGCTGTAAGTTTTCTTTTGCAAAATTAGTGTTTTTGGTGCATTTATAGGCGTAATCAAATTTAGAAACACGTAAGCAGATGCAAAGGAATTTTCTAAATCGTATATTAGTTTTAATATAAAACCAATTGAGTGTTTGGAAATTTTTTAAAATTATGGCTGCCTACTAAAATATAATAATTTCAATTTCAGAGACAAAGCAGAAGATTTTATCTTTGATTAATCATGAAACCATCTAAGATCGAGCGGAACGAAAACAGTAAAATGCTGCTTTAAAAGCAAGATTTTTCTTTCAATCAAAGCTCTTTCGAGATGTTTTCTGAAAGCTAAACATCTTAATGCTAGGAGTTTGATAATTTGGACTTGACACTAATATTCAAAATTCTTGGTTACCACTCAGTTTTCTTTTTCTGAACAAATGAGGAGCACAAAATATTTTAAAAGCAAAAAGTCAAAAAATTTGGATCAACTCATCAATCTAGTTATTAATTTACTACAAACTGTGTTTTTTGCACCCATTTTCAAAAAAGTGGCGGAATATTTGTGCTCGGGGTGATTTCTTTTCCAGACTAGCCGCATTTGAACGGAATTTTTGACTAGCCGCTTTTGAACTGAATTTTTGACTAGCCGCTTTTGAACGGAATTTTTCATACCAACTGAAAGCTAGTGATGTCCAGAGTTGAAATTTACAAAAATTACTTACTAGTGATTTTTTTGATAAACTATTGGTCCGAATTTCGAAAACATTGCGTAATATTTACACATGACATCGTTTTTTTATTCAGCCAAAAAAAGAACTTTTTAGCTGAGCACTTTTAACGGTAGTTTTGATATCATCTGGAAACCAGTGATGTCCTGAGTTCAAAAAATTTAAAAGGATCTTTTTTTGGATCTTCTGATAAGTTATTGTTCCGAGTTTTGAAGAAAGTGTGGAATAAATAAGATCGGCAAAAATTGTTTTAACTGAACACTTTTAAGGGTATTTTTTTATCATCTGAAAACCAGTGATGCCCTGAGTTCAGTTTAAAAAAAACAATGTACTTGTGATCTGTTTTGATAAGTTACTGTTCCGACATTCAGAGAAAATGCGTAAAACTTATGCTTGGCGTGAATTTTATTAAGACTTTCTATATAAACTTTCTAACTAAACAGTTTTTTTTGTATCATCTGAAAAATATTGATGCCTGGAGCTCGAATTTCAAAATTTTGTTTACCTGTCATCTTTTTCGACAAAACTATTATGATTAAATTTTGGGAATAATTTGAAAACTACAAATAACGCACATTATATTAGGTTCTTTCAAAATATTAGCTAAAAATTATTTCACTCCACAGTGAATTGAGGCAATTAAATTTATCCTAGGAGTATGCTACTTGATTATAAAAAAAGTATTTTATACTATTTATACTAAACGCTCAAAAAAATTCGTGCTTTTTATGCTTAGGCGGCTGTTTAAATTGCTCTTAAAACGTTCAAAACTGAAACACGGATGGACGGTTGCTGTGCAAGTAGCATAGAATGTTCCGAACATATTTTCAGAAATTTTTTTCACGTTAGTGTCTTTTCTTTTACGTTTAATAATAAAGCTAAAAAAACGCGCATAAAGTTATTGAATTATGCATGAAAATTACAATTGTATTCAAAAAATTTGGAAGCAAAAAAGATAATTTAAAAAAAAATCTTTTTAATTCTCTTTTTCCAATTTTTTGCACTAAAAAATTCAAATACTTTCGAAAAAAATTTTTTTCCCAGAGACGCGCTAGATACGGCATCCAAAATTAAACTTTTTTCTGGTAAGTTTATCAATTTTTAGCCGAAATGATAATTTTCATACAAAACGAACGTTACTCGATTGCTTTACTCGCTAGAAAATAGACGAAAAAGTATAAATGTCAAACCGATTTTTCTCGACACTTGAAGTTCTTTTTTGCAAATTTTTAAATTTTGTTCAAATCAGGACTCAAAAGTTTTTATGATATATCACTTAATCCATTCCGATGATTAATAAGGGTACCTGATTTTGCCTGGAAAAGCAAAAAAAAATAAAACACACCTGCCTGCATACAGAATTCTTCTCAAATTCCTCCCCAAATAGTTGATGTTATTATTATGTTGCTAGATTCTACGAACGCCATTTGTACTAAACAATGCAAGGGCGGCACAATTTTTGAGTAGAATTGAAAAAAAATCTGATAAAAAAGACAAGAGAGGCTAGCTAAATACGTTAAGGAAAACTTAAAAATTTAGTTTCAATTCGAAATCATCCCGAACAAGTTCTGACTAAATTTCAGAATTTTGCTTTTGAGGCAACACTTTCCTTGTTTAATTCTGCTTACATTATGTAGGCAGTTCAATGTTTAATATAAATTTTTTTTCCTCCCAATTTTTCATTTTATTATTAAGAAGTTGGTGGACAAGATGTAAAAGTTTTTTGGCACTTCATCGCTTATAATATATATTTTATGTACGCTCATGTTTTTTCAAAATTTATTCAAATGAAATTTAACAAAAAATCATTTAAATGTTGAACATCTCGGGAGAACTCAATTCTGTAGAAAATAATTATGGCAGTGGAAAAAGTCATTTTTTTGATGTTTCAACCGTATTTTGGAATTTTTTCATTTTTTGCAAAAACGACCCAGTAAATTTTAAATTTTAGGTTTTAATGAAAACACCAGGTTATAGGCAGTGATTGTGCTTAAGCAGATATGCTCCAATTTTTATGAAAAGAAATTATATGGCCCTCGGAAAAGACAAATTCTTGAAATTTGGAGCATATTTTGGAATTTTTTGTTTTTTTTTCTCGAAACTTACCCTGCTTAATGTAAAATTTAAGACTAAAGGTTTATCAAAATAACATCAAAAAAAAATTATTGGCATGCAATTTTGCTGCATAAACCGGTATACCCCCTTTTCGTTGGAAAAAGTTACCGTTTTAGGACAAGTCAGAATTATTTAAATTTAGGACCATTTTTTAAAAATATTTGTTTTCTTTTTCAAAAACTAATCTGACATTGAGGTTTCTAAAAAAAAATTTAAAAAGTTCAAAAAGCCCCATTTTGGTTTCTTAAAAAGGAAACTGGTAGGTCCATAAAAAAGTCAATTTTTCAAAATTTTTAGTTTTTGAAATTTTTCCGTTAAAGCAGAACTCTGAGGTGAAAACTCAATCGGCCTAATTGAAAACAAAATGCAAAAACCGTTAAACCCTATTTTTTTTTATAGAAAAGCCTATTTTTTCTGAGTTCAATTGAAATAACAGGTCAAAGGAAAAATAACTTTTTTAACGGCTAGTCCTCTATGTTAGCAGAAAATACACTAAAACTGTAAGCAGAGCCCAATTTTTAAAACTGAAAATTTTGCGTTTCATCCCGCATCAGTACAACATAATCTATAAATTTTTATAATCTATATAATCTATAAAAGTTTTTGCTGGGCCCTGAATTCAATTATGACAGTCGCAATTGCCTCCCATTTTGTGTATAAGGGAAGCTTTAAACCAGCTTTATATCCTTTTTTTATTTGATGCTGCAAAATCTTAACATATGAAAGATGGCAAACCAATTAATTTAAAACCAAATCAGCGATGGGGTTGGTGTCGCTTCTATTCGATTTAATACAAAAAAAACCTATGAAATTGAACTTACGGTGAGTGAAAGTTTTTCAAGAAGTGAAACATTTCTGCTTTGAGATTTTTCTTCGGCAAAGAGTGCTTTTCTGGTGATCAAGATTTGAGATGTAACAGAAAATTTATTTCAAAATAAAAATAATTTATGAGTTTTTTCCAATGGTCAAAAGCATTTAAAATAGAATAGAACCACCTGCTTGCTGTAAAGGCATACAGTAAGAAATTTTCGATACGAACACCTTAATTCATAATTGATGATGTTTACCTCGAAACTAAAACTCAATTACCAACTGAGCAAAATCCGCCAACCACCAGACATAAAAAATTTAGTGAGGGTAGCTCGGTAAAACAAGACCAAAATTTCAGAGTCAGTATAAGAAATGGATTATACTATAACACGGACTAGCTTATCGATGTCATCTGGCTGTGGAAATTACTTCACCTTTTAATTGTTATCCTAGAAAGTAATATTTCCGAACTCGTTCACGTTTCCGCTGACCTAGCAAAAAGTCGAACATTCAAGGGTAAGCGATGATTCGGTGACATTTTGAATGCATTCATTGAAAAAAGTGTCAGAATTGACAGAAAAGGACAAGGTTGGTGCTATTCTCAGAGGACTTTTTGGTTCAGTGCAGTCCCGGAAAAAAAAGAGTGCCAAAAAATAATCTGTTCCAGATTGCCAAATCTTTTTAAAACTAATTCAAATAACGTAAAACATCTTGAACACTAGATAACCCACAAACGTTTCCCGTAACTGTGATCATTTCATTTGAAATTTTCGTTTTCCCAACCATGTCGCTGTATGGTGTTCTTTTCGACTGATGCTGATAACCTCAATTGAATTTGATGGAAGGGTCAACTGTGGCATCATATCAAAGCCCATTTTGTGGTGATTTACATTCCAAAAACTTCAAAATATCTTGGTGTCGAAACGAACTAGAACATTTTTTGGTTTGATTTTAGCAGATCTATCTATACTCTAATTAATCTTTTGTGTGTGTGTGTGTGTGTGTGTGTGGGTGTGTGTGTGTGTGTGTGTGTGGTTTTTTTGTGTTTCTCTACTCCTACCAAATAGATAAACCAAACAATTTAGTTTTTGGCATGATGATAGATAGCAGGACAACGTTTTTAAAATTTCTTTTTGGCTGTCTATTTGAGGTAAAGAGCAAAAAACGTGTGAAAATTGGAAGTCAGTGAATTCTAGGTTTCCTTTGAAGTTCATTTTCATTAGACGACTAAAGTACACGCATGCAATATTCTTGACTAACTTCATTTTTTTTTCATCTCCATTTGAGGTATTCTGAAATCAAGGTTTTTTCAAATATCAGAAGAGCCGAAGTTGCAATAATTGCTGAATTTGAAATTGGTGACTTTTCCTAAACACGAAGTAATGTCTGATAGTGCATAATTTTTGTGCTATCATTTATAGACTACAAAAAAGGTGACAGGTAACAAATATAATAAGGCATCAAGAGGTATCAAGTGTCAATTGATCAAAGCTCAAGTATTCTTGAGGAATTTTTATTAACTAAATGTAATAGCTGTATGTAAGAAAATGATGTTATCAAACAAAAGATTTTCTCAATTTAATATGTTTTAGCTTGTTAATACCATCAGCAAATAGTTAAAACCCATCCATAAAAAATTGGGAGATTGTCTTTACCAGTTCATTAGCTGGTAATTTTATGCATTCATTCACTGCGCGATGAACAGTTACGGTTAGTAATTTAAAAAAATATATGAAGAGGTCATTTGACAAGTTGGTAGTAAGGGCAAATTGCTTGTCTGAATTCAATTTGAAATGATTTTATGTGCCTTTTACACTGTAATAGGTTGAAATAAATTGCCCGCTATTTATCCCTATTTGAAATATTATGGTCAGTAAATGTTTCGATCCAAGTTCAAAAGATTATACTTTTAGAAAAATATATACGGGTGAAATATCTTTTTAATTTTCAGCTGTGGATTTTTTCAGAGGATATAAAGTTTTTTGTTAAGAATAAAAGTCAAAAAACGGAAAATTTGTCTGGAGAAAATGAAACATCTCAAGCACAAGCACAATTATTCAATCACAATTTTCAAAAAATTGGAACTAAGATAACTGAGTTTGCCTTAATTCGGTATCAATAAATCAACGTTTTATTAATGCTTTAGTCCTTTAGTAGTTTTTTAGTATCTCTTGGTGTCTAAAATCTAACTTATGCGGATGTAATTCTAAGGCTGGTACAAAACAAGCCCAAACTGAAATTTTTTTTTCTGAACTTAGAAAAGTGCTAGGCCTGATCTAACTTCATGTTTTGATTTAATAACAATTGGTGATTTTTTTTGAGATGAAAATCGCAATCTTTTTTGAATAGATGCCGTCCAATATTCCGTCAAAGTTTTAAGAAGTTTCAAGAGTTGGAACAATGATATCTGAGTTCACCTTGATCCGGTATTCATCAACCAATTCTTTAGTACTGCCTTAGTCCTCTAGTATTTTTTACAATCTCTTGGTGTCTTTAATTTGATTTCAAAGGATGCATGTCTGAGGCTGGTACAGAACAAGCTGAACCTGAAATTTATTTGCAAAAAAAAACAAAAATGGTAGGCCTGCTTTTATGTCATGTTTTGATTTAATTACAATCAGTGAATGTTTTTGAGCTGAGAAAACTTAACCTTTTTTGAATAGATGTCATCAATAATTGCGTCGCAATTTTAACAGCTGAAACAACGATGTCTGAGTTTGCCGTGATTTGGTATTCAGCAATCAATTGTTTATTACTGCCTTAATCCTCTAGTTTTTTCTTAGAATCTCTAGGTGTCTTAAATTTAATTTAAAAGGATGCATGTCTAATGCTGGAACAGAATAAGCTCAAACTGAAAATTAATTGTGAAGTAGTAAGAAAACCCTAGGCCTATTTTAACCTCATGTTTTGATTGAATTACATTAGTGTGAAAATTTTTGAGCAGAGAAAATTTTTTTTTGAATAGATGCCATATTTAAAAAAAATTGTCCAAATTTTCAAGCTGACTGAAGTTTGAAAACTTTCTCATTAATGCGTAGTTGTCCTTACGAAAGACAAAAAAGCCTTTTTTGTTAACCAACATTCTTTTTCAATATTAGTCTTTTAGTTTGAAGAACGTACTTGGACAAATCTGAGATACATCTTCAAGAATAAATAAATTTGGGTGAGCAATCAATTTTGATCAACATTTTTGTGAAAACTTGGATGAAACAAAAAAACTATCGAGTGACTTATATACCGATGGAGCGTCTGATATATGATTTGTCTTTTGCTGAGAGTTTTACTGAGGATTATTTGATCGTTTTAATGTGTTTACCATGGTTTTCCTCCATACACCGAAAGCTCTAGTCATGCAACTGCATACCATTTGTCTATGAATAAAAGCTAGCCATCCTATGATAATTGTATGACTACCGTTACTTTGGAAAACTAAAATTCTAACCTTCCACAAAAAAACTTTTGCATATTTCATGTCCAGAACAAAACCAATTCTGTATTCCAAAAAAAAGGTAGAAACTTACTCCAATTGCTCACAATTTTTTTTAAAAATTGGATTCAATTTGGACTAATTTTTTCTTTTTGATAAAAACGCACCCAATTCGGCCAGCTAAAAATCACCCAAAAATGTCAATCGGCGAAAAAAACTACAGCAGAACTTGTTTGGGCCTACTGGAATGAGTTTAATACTCTTACAGCGACAGCTATTTATTTCTTTTTAAAACCCCATAATGGGTTTTTATGAGAGTTTAATTGTCGTTCTGACCAATTGGCAAGTATAATTCAGCATTACTGTGTTTGGAAATAAACACAAAAGTTAAGGCGGTCAATTAAAACTAACAAAAAGCCGGGGTTTTTCATAATTTTTGGAAAATGCTAGTTTTGTAACTCCATATACGATGAAAAATTGATTCTAATGCAATATTGTACTATGAAAAACAATCTTCATAGAGCTTCATAAAAGTTTTTAAATAAAATGAAAAATGTATGACTAACATTTTTTGTTAAACCTGGATCGTACAATTTTTTCAAGGACTCAAAAATTTGAATCAAATATGGGAACAACGCCGTTGTTTTGGGAGCACACTAAAACATGTATTCATAGCTGGACACACTATACTTTCATTTACTAGCAACCCATCGCTCTTCGAATACAAGGGTTGCCAAATTTCCCCCAAAGGTCCCTTCATTTGATACCATTTAACAATAGCTATTTCTAGCTAATAGTCGAATACCGTAAACGTTTCTGAAGGCGCTATTGGCGTCAGTATATACTTCTTACAAGGAGGGAGACGCAATTTAATCGGTCAACACCTTCCAAAAAAGCTCAAGAACGGCACTGAAAATGGCCATTTTGGGGTTTTTGAAAAGCTCAAAAGCCATTTTAAAAAACATCGAAAATTTTTTGTTACCCGTCAAAACTTTTCGCAAGCCACAAATTTTGGTCATTTAGTGGCACGGAAAACTATGGAAATTAACTTTTGACAGCATAAAAACTTCAGATATATTCGAATTCAAATCACAAGTTTAGTGACTACTCAAATCTAACCTGGAGGTGAGTTTTCGAAGACGTCCCACCAACATGATCCCCTTACCAGCAGATTTGAACGAATTCCGACCACTGCCTACACTGGTACCCGCATGTGTGTTTCCACTCAAAGTTTCAGATGAAAAACCAACCAAATTGCTACTTTCGTCGCCGCTGTCGGCGCGGTTGTTTTTAAACTCTCTGTTAATATCAGTGGAAGCTACGATTGGTTTGCTTTCCTCTTTTGTTTCTACTTTGCCTGAAGAATCTTTTTGCATTTCATCTGCACTTAAATTACTTTCAGCTGAAGTATTAAGGGGGGCACTTTCGTCTTGAGGCAAGGAAGACCAACGCACGTTTGAATTGGTAGAGTTATTGATTTTTTTGCTAGTACCAGCTGCTGTGGATGATGAACTAGCTAAATGCATTATGTTGTTCTTTTTTCTTAAACTTTTAGCAGTAAAAGTATATGACAGTATAATTCAATTGGAAATAAAGTAATGCAATATAAAAGAGTGTAAATTTAATCAGGTGCACT